AATAAGCTAAATCAGCAATTGGTAAGTGAAGCATTGATGTTTTTTGAATGGAGAACAATTCAATAGTTATAGTTTGATAATGGATAGATGATTTAATGAAATTTGGCTAATCCATGTTTAATTTCATAGTAAGCTATATTTACATTTCATTAAAAACACTCTTTATTTAGTTCCCAGTAGCAGCAAACCTAATCACTCGTCAAACCTATTGTTAATTATTTAAATCTATATATAAAAAAAATGAATCCATTTTTTGATGGTATTCCATAATCCGAGAACGAGTGCGCCGAATTGGATGATTCTTTTTTGTTGTGTTCCTTAGAGCCAGGGAAAGGTTTTTATGTAAAACAATTTATAATCCATCCAACCGTTATTTACTAATTTGGTTTCAAAAATTCAAAAAAAAATTGCCTTTACATCAAGCTCACTCACTTCAACTTGAAGGTGAGCGAGCATAGCGATTGAGGTCAGCCTGAAGGCGAGTGAGCTCCAACCAAAAGGTGAATGAGCGTAGCAAACGAACTTCAACCAGGACGTGATTGAGCGATGCGAATCATGAAAATGAATAGCATTTTCCATAAAACCACATTAGGACGACGTCTGTGGGGCCAGCTATTAGGGAATACAAATTTTAAGGAAGTATTTTTGTGCAAATCCAATCAGGCAAATTGAGATTCACTTAGTCTGCAGGTTTGCTGCTGCGGGAATTTTTGAGCTTATTAGTTTTAAATGTTCTTTTTAACAGGTTCTTCTTTTCCTACAAGAGATTCACAATGAGCAAGTTCAAATATCACCGCTGGGGTTGTTCTGTATAGGCCGCGTCTCACTAGCAACGGTAAGTAGCTTGTTGGGTAAGTAGCTTACGTCCCATCTTAATGTGTTGTGCAATTCACTCTGTTTTTACAAGGTTTTTTCAATGACAATTGACTATTTGATATTTCATCACTATGACACACTATGGTCTCGAAAATTTAGCTCCTTGGTTTTTAGACCGATTACAAAAAAAAAATTGCCATCGGTGTAGAAAAAACATAAGAAATACTATTTCTTATATAATTTAAAATCTACTATTTTTTAACTAGTTCTATCGTAGTGATATTTACAAATGCAGATTTTTGTATTTTTCAGTAGCTGTGTCCGGGCTGTTATTTAAAATGATTTTAATTATAAATATGACAATTGGTAGCGTGGCATACTGTAATCAGCGAGTTCAGATCCTGGTACCTACCATTACATTTTATCAGTTATCAGTGCTGGTTCACCCATTGCTTTTTTGTATATATTTCACAGACAGGCCCAAAAATGTTCTATGTCAACAGGCAAATGCAAGATTAAAAGAGGCCATCAATCTCTTAAAATGTTTCCTTTTGTTTCATAAGAAATGTTAAACTTATATAATTCATTTTATTGTGCTTCATACATTTTATGTTTACATTTTTTATCATATATTTCATATTATATTTTATATTTGGTAGTTTGTATATTTATTTTAAATCACAAAATGTCTATATTGTATGTATATTGTAATTGTACATTGTTTTTACCACTCAATGAAGTTTAAACCCACCGAACATCGATCATCATGCATGACTCAAATTTCCTGGATTCTTCTGTGATTTAAAATCACCTAACCGAACTTCAACAAAAATTATCTGATGATCTGAGAGAAGGTAAGCCCTTAAACTTGTACATTTAATGCAAATTATTAAAGTAAACATAATCTGTTCTGTTCCCAGGCAGCTGCAACTATTGTATCATACATGTTGGTGCTTATTCAGTTCTCATCATAGTTTAGAAAAACTGCCAACAGACTTTGAAGTGCACAGCTTATTGTTTTTTAATTTAAATGCAAACTAAAAATGTCTACTTAAAGTTTGTATCAGTGTGGGATTGAATATTGGAAACAAGAGTTATTTTTTCAAAACATAACTAACCTAGTTAAAATGTATATATGATGTATATGCAAATGATGTGTATACAGTATGATGTATATGCAAAAATCTAATTCAAGAAATGAAGGATTGTGTTATTTTCAAAAATACATAAATTCAAAAAAATAGATTAGATTATCTTTGTTGTTGTTGCCGTGTTCTTGAGTACACAGCCACAATTTTTTTTTTTACTAAAAAAAAAACAACCCAAATCGTGTTTATTTACTCAAGAACACAGCAACAACAACAAAGATAATCTAATTTATTTTTTTGAATTTATGTTTTAAAATTTGAAAATAACACAATGAAACAGTTTGCACTTACAATAAAATTCCAGTTAGTAAAATAATACAGTCCTTCATTTCTTGAATTAGATTTTTTTGTGTAGGATGTCTGGGTCATTGGGTCACCCTATGCATGTTGCCACTTTTGTCAATATAAGTGTGTAAATATTTTTGTAACAAAAATACCATACAGTTAGTGATAAAAAGATAACTTAAAACTACTCCTAAAGATGACAATAAAATGCCACACAAGCTGGCGAAATGCATAAGAGGTGACATTTTTAATCTTATAATGTGTACGATTTTTTTTATTTCTCCACCTGTACATCGTATATGGAGGAGAGTACCTATTGTTTTCGTCAAAATTTTTGAGTTTGAGTTTTGGGAGAATATATTTGCTTAGGGGTTCCTCTGAACCCAAAAAAGTGGTTTTCAAAGGGATACATTTTGTGTGTGTGTGGATGTGTACGGAGCTACAGACCACACTTGACTTGACTTATGTTCCGATTTTGATGAAATTTGGTATTAGGGTACTAATCCATAGTATATCCAAGCATTCTTTTAAAATAAAAAACTATTATTTTTTATTGTTTTTAATTGGTAGTTTTTATATAAAATTCCATAAAAAAATAAAAATCTGACAAAAAAAAGCTTGACCAATTTTGATTTAAGTTTATTATTTTATATTCCTTTTAACTCTTTAACAAGAGTGTATAACCCGCCTTGCTGTAAAAATTACGGTTTAAAAGTTATTGGAAACTTTAGTATTTTTCCAATCATTATTTGATGAGAAAAATACTATGTTGTCAGTTGTCATAGTTACTCCCACCACTTGTAAGGTTTATAAAAGGTTTGTTCACAACACAAGCCAAAGTGAGAAGGTACGTGCCTCAGATTGCTGATACTGTTTATTACCTTGTAATGTATTTTACACTGATCGCATGTTATGTATATAGAACATACTCATGTTCAAGTCAGACATAGGCATGACATTAGTCAGTCAACAGCAGCCGTTTGAATATCCATGAAGTCATGTATTGTCAATCTGTCATAAACATCTAAGCGATTATTCTGAGAGATGCATGGATCCATCCGAACCGTTGGAGCAAATCAGGGAATAACTATATCATTATTTCAAGCAAAATGTATATGTGGAAAAACCAAATCTCATTGTTATACCTTTTAGTGGGAGTTAAAATGGTATTTAAAAAATGTTAAATAAAATGTGTCAAGTTATTTCATATTAAAAATGTATTTTTAGAAATATGTTTTTTTCTAGAAGAATCAAAGTCATTATAATTTCAGTTACTTGTTCCCTGTATAATATGTGTTTTTAAATATTTAGTAGTGTGTACCCCCCCTCCCCCCCCCCTATACACTAGCCTACTGACTATAGTTTAAGGATTGTTGCGGACTACACGTTATCATAATTTTTAGATATTGTGCACAATAAATGAATGGTGTATCTTTTGTGAAATAAAAACTCTAATATCACTGCTAAAACATTATGTTACTTTTTCTCTGTAATCTGTAGTACTATAATATTTCCTTATGCATGCTGAACAATGTGAACAATAAGCTTAAAGCCTGAATAAAAAAAATTGTACAAAATGGAAAACTTTTTGGATATTTCAATGTATTTTTAATGTTCACCTAGTTAGCTTAAAATACTTACCTAGTACTCCGGTAGATATATTTTTAGGAAATATGTTTGTTGTATCACATATAAATCAATAATTAACTAGGTAGTTGTTTAAAAAAAATGTTGTCTGTTTCATTATCACTATCTACCTACTCATTGTTGTGAATTGTCATTTATGGCTCACACAACTTTTGTTTGATATCAAGTCATACCCATTAAAGAACAGAAAAAGAAAGAAAACTCGTTCAAAGGGGAAATGTAGCAGTAAAGATCTTCTAAACACGATGAGGTTTTAAAAATGCAACTATGGTTCTCTTGAGAATACCTGAAATAGAAGTGTACGAATGTTAAAGACAACTTGTAATGCATTAGACCTCAGCAAAGGTGAAGTTAAATTACTGATTGTGATTGATATCAATGTTTAGTAAACTTTGCAAAAATGTTAAGAGGAATCTACAGTCTTTAACTGTGTTATTTTTAATTGTAAACAATTATTCCAGCATTTAGTTTTGTTACCAATTCTGATAAAAATATTGTTACTAGCCTGGTACATTTTATTATTAATTTTGAATAGTGGAAGAAGGTTGAATAGTGGATCACGAGCTGTTGTAAAATCTGCAGCATGTGTTAATTACCCTCCAGTATGGTTGGAAACTTCTAGAGTGGGTGGTGTGAGTAGCCTCCGTATTGCGAATAATAACTATGATAGTGGTTTAATTAAATACCTTATTCTTGCAATCCGATTGTTGTCTTCACAACTAGTTTCAACCTGCTAGGAGGTCATCATCAGGTGTGTACAAGGATGATATTACTTCATATCTGAAGTAATTCTGTCTAGACGCAACTTCCGCATTTTCAACATGGGTCCGCTTGTCAAGTTCGATGTTTTTATTGGCCGTATATGTGTGCGCACTATGTGTTTATTCGTCGTGTGTTTGTGTGAATGTAAAAAAACTGTTACTGATGACCTTCATATGAAGTAATATCATCCTTGTACACACCTGATGATGACCTCCTAGCAGGTTGAAACTAGTTGTTAAGACAACAATCGGATTGCAAGGATAAGGTATTTAAACCACTATCATAGTTCTAGAGTGGGGTTTACTAATCAATAGAAGTCAAATAATTAAAAAACATCTTTTTAGTAAAGCTGATATGCCCTGCTTACAAATTATATCTAAAAACTACATTGGTTTTATAGATTATGGTCTACATTTTTGCTGTCAACCTTATTATATACCAGTCTCCTTTATAAAACACTCTCAAGCTATGGAAGCTTTTTGGAATCTTTTGGAATAGTGATGACAGACTTATGAAGTCTAGTGCTACTTTTGTAAATGTATGTTTGGAAAGAGATTTTTTATTCTATATTATATTTAATTTTTCGTGCCATTAACTTTTGACAGTTACAGGTTTAAAGTCTTTGTAATAATTTGGAGGGGAAATAAATTCCATTACACTGAAAACTTCAAAACCAATCTTCTCAAATACTCTTTGGGATGGAATATTTTCTCTCTGTACTGTGGCAAAAGGTACTTTCTGTCTTGAGTGCAACTCTTTTGCCAAACTTCGAACAATAATCTCTCCATAGCCTTTCCCTCTACTTTCAGGGTCTGTGAATAGGCAAAAAATCCCTCCTGAATTGTAGGTGACTGCAGAACAAAGCATTTTTGCCTCAGGTTTTCTGAACAAGCCTGAAAAATTACATAGTTTACAATATAATAATTTTGTTCAGATATTGTATGACCCATACAGGTTTATTTCTGTATTAACACTTTAAAACAGTTTATGATGGAGTGGAGATTTATTGATCATAAAATTCAGGCTATATGCTAATAATATGTAATATGTATACGGAAGCCAAGTACTGTACATATTAAAAGCGAAAAATGTATAAATTTGAAACATGCCATGGGGATTCCTCATGGTGCAATGAGGCTTAGAAAAATGTAGTTATGTATACAAGTTAAATATAGGGGTTGTATTTTTACAAAATCGTTAAGGGAAATGGGAACTCCTGAAATTTTAAATAAACCATTTGAGTTTTTTTCAATTGTAAGCTCTTGATTTTTAGCAATTTTTAGTAATTAGTGTTCAAAAACGAAGTAAATTTGCTTAGCTTATACCAAAATTTATAAAACCTCTTATTGGAACACCGTTTTGGATGGTAAATTCCAAATAAAAATTTACTAAAAATCATTATGAGTTAAAATTCAATTTCAACATGTAAACATTTTATTTGCACAGTTCAGAGGGATGCATTGCACGACGTCCAAGTGCCACGACGTCCAATAATATTTATTCAGTGCCACGACGTCCAAAACATAATTTTTGAGTTGTTGCACGACGTCCAAGTGCCACGACGTCCAAAAGTACAGTAACTGCCAAAAATATAGCCTTTCTACAAGCTTTGGACGTCGTGACACTTGGACGTCGTGAAACAGCGCACTATAGAATTGTAAAAAAGTTACATTTGCGGGAGTGTTGCACGACGTCCAAAGTCGCTGCCAGTTGCACGACGTCCAAGTGCCACGACGTCCAATAAATATTTGACTGTTGCACGACGTCCAATATAGCTCAGCGCTGTTGCACGACGTCCAAGCTCCTTCATGATGACCGGTTACGATGACCGGCTACTTGCCGAATAGTGTTCTCTCGTGTAAAATGCTTATGGAACGTTTATTAGTTATATATACATTGGTATATGATCTTGTTCAGAAATATATATACTATGAATATTTGAACCATTAATTGAAACATCATAAAGTAAAAAAAACATAAAAAAAATAAACAAGGCAACAGTTGGAAAACTATAAGGTTTACATGGTTTGAAAAATGATGACATTTTGTTAACAACCGATCAACTTCATTATGTTTGGAGTAAGCTTTTAAATACTTATTTTTTCAAGACTAGATGAATGTACATTGATCAACATGATCTTTGAAAACTATTTTTATACCCTCATTTTAATTTTTACTAGTATAAATAATAGAATGCCTTTTTCGAACTGTTTTTTAGGCTTCAATTAAATGTCTTTATGTCGCAAATATGTTTATCAATAGTATTCACTTAACATTGACTTAATTTCATTTCAATAAATTTTGTGTTTGTGTTTTGCTACACCACTTATTAAATTGCAACCAATGAGAATATATATATAAATAAAATTGGAGTTTTGTCTGTACATTGCTCAGAATCATTCATTTGTAGGTTATTTTTACGTTTTATACATTAAAGAAGCCGAAACAAGTCTCATCTAAATTTCTGTCTGTCTGTCTTTCTGTCTTTCTGTAACACTCAAGATGGCATTTTACGCAATCTTCTCCAGGAAAACGAGAGTACCTATCAAGATCCAAGTCATTTTAATGTATTCACTGGATTGGCGAGAGTGTCTTTAGCCATTAAAATATGGCCTCACTACTTAGTAAATAATATTACGGACTTTAAAAAATGCAGTTTTGTGCGATTTTTGTCAAGTTTTCGTCGAATTTTTATCACATAATGATCTATGAAATAACGAACAGCTGTTCGGATCAAGATTATTTTTTCTCACTGTCACTGATATGTTTACAAATACCTCAACCATTTCCGATCACGTTTTGAAGGCAAAGCCCATTTATCTAAGTGAGATTAAAATCGTTGTCTTACATAACGGATTTAATTAACCGCAAGTGGAATAATATAGTGTAACCGTAAATGAAATTTAATAACATCATCCAGGTTAGGAACCAGAGATTCTTTGTGTATAAAATTGTTCTTGAGTTTTGATAACCTTGAATCAGTGTTGTATAGGGCTGGGAAACTTGAATTTATTAATGATCGTCGCCAATACCTTACTAACTCATTGACGGCCCTTCGATGGTGGTTGTGTAAAGTGTAAAGTGTAAAGTAAAAAATCACAACTGCAGTGGGTGATTGTAACAGAGGTTTACGGTTTATGGATGATGCTAAACTCGCTTTTCCAATGTGTCACTTTCTGTTCCTACTCACCGTATGATGCAATCGCTGGACCATACAGCCAATAGGCCCATAGCCCATCTCTTGGGTACTTACGCCTACCCAATTATTCATAACAACCTTTTCGACGACGATCCTTGTTACCGGTACTTTTCCCTAGAATACACGGCCTCCCTATTTAAGAAATAAAATTACAAACGTCCAAAAACCCAGCATTGCGTGATTTTTGTCACATTTCATTCTAATGTTAAAAGATATACCAATCATTGTTTAGAGAATAGGCCTGCGTAATCTATTAAATAACAAACAGTTGTTTTTATAAGGTTGTTTTTTTTTTTAACTGAATAAGTTTACATTAAAAGTTGTTTACGAATAAAGCAATTAATGGGAAATAATTTTGATTGCCGATAACTTTTCACGAGAAAATCCAAAACCAAGAAATCAATAACCTTGGGACTTGATTAACGCATTTAATTTGTCGGACGTAATTCTTAACTGTAAACGTTGGTTTTTGGTACTGGTTTTTTTCCTTAGAACCGTTGGTAGCCGCAAGAATCATTTTTACGTACCAACACATCACTGTAATTTACAAATTAGTTATCGTTGGTGTTGCACCTTATTTATACAGTGGTATTACAGCCTTATTCAATTTAATTGATGTCTTAACTGTATAAGTTTTGCTTTTTCTGTCTGGATTCCAAAATGTTAGTTTATGCTATGAAAATGTGATTCATTTAAGTAAAACATTTGTTTAGCAAACCATCATGAATTGTTTACGATTTACGTTGTTTATGTATCAATAGTTCGTGGCCTATTTTGGTAATTTTTATAATAGGTTAAATTACCATTACCAATCTAAATTGTCTATAGTACTTCATTTTATAAAGTAAGCCGTCATTTCGACAGCATTTCGGGCCATCTTCGGTCCAAGCAAATATAAATTGTTATGATAAAATTTGATGACATTGACAAAGATTTCAAATTCTAATTTTATATGTACTTTGTTATGCTTAAAACGTAGCAAATTCCCTAATTAAGTTCTGTATTTTTGTGTGTATGTCTGTTGGTAACGCATTTATGTCCTTATATCTCAGTGTCACGAAAAGGACAAGAGCACCTTGATAATGAAAATGTCAACCCGAATAAAGTGTTAAATGGTAAGGTTGAGGTAGTACTTTAAATGCCTTTAACCATTGTGGGAAGTAACTTTCAACTATAGGCCTTAGGGCTATGCCTCATAGATTTGTTTTGGCTTGAAACTGTCAGATACTGTATTTGCGAAGGTTTATATATAATAGTTTTGCCAGCATATCTGAAAATATGCAAACCAACTGCTTTTCTTAATATAAGAAGGTTTCAACTGTCTACTTTAAGATCCCCGTGCGTAGAACGGGCACACAGCTAGTATCATATAAATAAGTTGCACACCGGGTTCTTTTGTTTCCCCAACTCTAAAATACAACGCACATGAATTGAAAATGTTATAGGTTTAATAGTACTGTAGCAAATCGAATATCAATAAAGTTAACGTATAACAATAAATTTACATATTCCTAGATTATAATTGAATGTGTTTACGAAGGAACACCACAACCTCAAAATTCAACATTACAGTATATTTACTCAAGATTTATTGTTTTCATATAGCACAGTTGACGTTGCCAACTAGCGTGGGAGCGGAAGTCCTGATAAAGGCTGGTTCTCGGAAAAGTAATAAAATTGTAGTTTGAATGAAACATTTTTTTTATTTTGTACAGGATTCATGGGATCCTCAGCATCAAGTACAAACTGCAAAATGTGTGTCGAAGGTCTGATTAGACCTTCCGAGATTTAGACCTTCAGCAACTGATCCGTTTTTTACCTTCCTTTAATTTATTCTTTTTCATGTTGTGCTTCATGTACTAGAGGGCCGCTCATGCCCTTGACAAATAAATTAACATTTTCGCACTAATACAAATCAATATCGTCATTAGACAAGAATTAAAACATAAAATGTATAAACAAAACCTACCACGGCATATTCTTGAACAAGTATGCCTACAAACCTACGATAAGCATGTTTGTTATTATTATACCCAACCTACAAATGCTATGACTTAGGGCATACCTGTTTTCCTACTAGTGGGGGAGCTACGTTTATCAAAACTGCAAATTGTGATAAGAAAACTCCTTTTGGTATGAATGTAGGTTATGGTCCGACAACTAAAATAAGATGGGGAGGCATTGCCTAAAGTTGTTATAATCCAAAATGGCAGCCATTTTTCAAAATGGCTGCCCATATTTTGTGTTTACTTAGCAATTCACTGATAAAAGCTTGAAAATGGCATTAACACTATTAAATATTGGTATAATATTAATCTGGAGATTCCGGCCTTTAATTTAATACCAAGTTTGTAATATATTACAATTATATCATCTCTATAATATAAGGCTGAAAATATACTCATTTTCAGCCAATTCTGAAGGTCATCAAAAAGCTTTTTATTTTAAGAGTTAAGTTTTTCACCTACAACGTTTTATTTACAACGTGTTTTTCAACTTTGCCTACATCCATTTTGAGACATAAGGAAAATACAAACTATGCAAATTCACTGGAAAGAGAGTTTTTTTCTTCTTCCTTAAGATATTTTTTCCATAAAAAATAAGAGGATAAAAATTTCAACAAAATTATGACACTTTCAATTATTTTTCTCTACCAGGTTGGCAATGCTAAATAGACAAATATTGCCAAACAGCTGATACTACAGGTCATTTTTGTGTTTATTATTATGTGTCACTCACGTTCTGAGTGTAGTTTTATTAGGAAACCCTGTACAAATGTGGCCGTCACACCGGGCCTAACACGGTGACAGTCCTGGGGGTTTTTATTTTTTTCTGATTCGAGTGAATGAAGATTGGATTCTAAAAATGGAAAAGCAGTTACACTTAGTTCCTCAGAGTGACTTGGGTGGATACTAACCAAAAGCTCTTGATCGGATCATTTTTATACTGTGCCAAAAGACAGATAATGATAGATTGCTTTGTCCTAAAAATAATAAAAATGTAAATGCTTGTAGCCCCAGATAGTAACGCTTGTCAAAAACTTTCAGAACTTTGATGACATAAATGGTTTACCCGCCGATATTGATATAAATGTTTTTAATGGAAATCTGTGTGGAATGAAATGAATCAGAAAATCAGAAATAAGTCGATTAATAAACTAGTTTGAAAAGAAAAATTGCTCATGACCAAAAATCATCCACTAGAAAGTCTTCCACCAATAAAAGGTGCATTACTACAGCAAGTATTGCGTAGTGTGCAACATCACTCTCTAAAAACAACATCTAAACAGTGTGCAACATCTGTCTCTAAATTCAGAAGAGAAATAGATCAAATGGAAATCCTGTAATAGGTCATTTATTTTTTCTTGCTCTCTGTATTCATTTAATTCTTTTTGCCTTATCTTCATCTTCATTCATTCTCACACCCCGCCATTGCATTATTTGTTCAAATGTTTGTTTGTAACCCTTTGTTTGTATAGTTGCATATTTGATTTTATATCCATTATTGTCTCATTTAAAGTAGTAGCATGTTAACTTGTTGATTGGAACTCATTATTGTTTCATGAATTTGTTGTGTCTATATTACTGTATTTATCAAGAGCATTTTCATTATCTTTCGGCATTATTGCACTTGCATGTAACCTTATAATATTATTATTAAACTGCAAAGTCTTGATTGTAAATAGATTGTAGTTGTAATTTTGTTATTAATTGATTGTATATATTGTTCATTATTTAAGTAATTTGAAATCAAGCTGTCTTGATTGTTGTTATTATTAACTGACATTGTAAAAATAGTGGAACCGTTGATAATAAATAAATAAATAAATCACTAAACAATCGAGGTTGGAGTTTGCATAATGAGTCTTGGTAGTTGAAATGGTCGGAATTAATAGAAATTTCTGATTCCTGCAAAGAACTCATAAAATGTGTTTGTAAATTATGTAAAAACAAGTGCAGCTGCAGAACTGCTCGTTTATTTTGCACATTATTGTACAAATACAATGAATGTGAACAATCATACCCTTGCCGCAGCAAACCTGCAGACCAAGCGAATTTCCATTTGTCTGAATTGATTTCAATTAAATATATTTAAACAACATTAGGTTTAACGAGTACCTAGGATTGCTGCTACAAGGAAACTAAAAAAGTTAGTTTTTTAGTCAGATATTAATAGCTTGGTATAAGATAAATACATTTACTATTTTTATTAACATATATCCATAAACAAGCAAACTACAACATTTTACAATATTCTCCATAAAAATAACATGAAAATTTTAAATTTTAATTTTTTTTTTTTTCTGTTATCAATAACCCCACAACAACACTTTGATATACTAAATTATTTGTTTTTAAGCTCTTTAATAAGGTATAGTGATAAATTGGAAAATTTTATGTTTTGAGGTTCAACAATTATAAAACGAAATTTTTACCTCATAAAACCTCCTGTAAAACACCGTTCCTGTGGTCCGATCATGTTGGTTCGCGAACTCTTACAAGTTTATTTCGCCTTACACCTTTAAACCAAATTTCATCAAAATCGGACAAAACTTACTCAAGTTATCGCGTTCACGGACACACACACACACAAATATATACATATATAAAAAATTGAACGAATGGTGTGTTTTGCCTCTGGGGACATTAAAATGACAAAATAAATCGGTCCCGGGTCTAGGTCTTACCATGCCACCTACGGTAATATTATGTAAACTAGCTAAAATTATGTAAACTAGGCAAATTAGCTAAAAATGGTGTTGGTAGAAATATTCTGCAACTTATAAAATATAGCGTGTTTTTTATTTGGTGATATAAATTTTCTGTAAATAAATTTACGTTTATTACATTATTCGGTACTTCAATATTAAACGGAGGCCACATTTTGTCAGCGCGCTGCGGCGGTTATGTTAGGTTGGGTTATCATAATAGAAAGTATCGTTCGATTCATAACGAAGCGAGGAAAGTCCTACACACATAATATTTACGATAACCCAACCTAACATAACCGCCGCAGCGCGCTGACAAAATGTGGCCTCCGTTTAATACTGAAGTACCCATTATTCTTTAACTTATTTACTTACCTTATACCTTAAAACTAAAAAAATGATCAGAAACACCATTTTGCATGATGTATATCAAAAGAAAATATATAAAACCCAAAATACGGGCAGCCATTTAAAAAAAATCGCCGCCATTTTGGATTATAGCAACTTTGGTTGGTGCCTCTCCATCTTATTTGCATTGCCTAACCTTAAACTACATTCCCACCAAAGGGCATACTCTTATCACAATTTGCAGTTTTTTTATAGTTTTTTTACTGTATCTCCCCCACTATACATAAAACATGCGAACTAATTGCGAGTGCGACGTGAACTTAGAAAAAGACTAGTAAGAATTTACAACTGTGAATTTCTCAGAATTGATTGACAGTTCAGATGAACCTACAGACTACGGAAACCTACAGTATTATTGTATTAGTATACTGTATTTGTATTATTGTGTTACTAGCAGAGTACCCGTCCTTCGTACGGGGTTGACATATAAGTATAAATGCTTATTGCAGTTATGGAAGAGGACACGATTAAAAAAAAAAAAAAAACTGGTCTCTTAATTTATACGGTATCCTATTGTGTGGCACACATCTACCATAGTCCTGATGTTCTTGCACCTAGACCATGGAAAAAGTAAAGTTCTCATTGTGTACCACAACTTTTTTTGCTAGTTGGTTCAAATTAGCTGTGGTCATTTATTAATGCAAACAAACAACATAATAGTGCTGCACCCTGTTTGGCAAGCCTTATAACTTTTTAATGCTTTCTAATATCATAGAACCAACTTGTACAGTTGAAACGGCTGACAAAATTCTTTAATTTTTTTTAATATGAATTCTCATAAGGTTAACTAGAGAAAGTCCAGAGCCAGAGCCACCGGGGCGAAGACTAAAAGAATTTTTGAGGTAAGAATGTGTTAATCGGGGATGTCATCTATCATCATACCAAATTTCAACCTTGTCGGTTTAGTAGCCTATTTTTCGCGTTTGCTTGTCACAAACATCCATCCATCCATCCATACATCCATGGTTTGCACTGTAAACAAAAAGCTATCACAATAGTTCCATACCGACAAATAGGAAAATATAAATAAATATGGCTTATCATTATAGCTTAAAAAGTAGATAGTTTACATAATATTTAGCACATTTGACGGATAAAACTTTTTTGAATTCGTCATATTATAAGTGTATGAAAATTCATATATCTGTGTATCAATATCTACTTATCTCATTTCTGTTCAATGGAAGTTATACAATTTCAATGATACCGGTACTTAAATGGGAAGTCTTACAGCTGTTATAAAACTGTGCATACATTTTATCTTACCAGTAAATTTGCTACCAATTGATATAGTATGACAATTCTATTCTACTGCAGTACTTAGAATTCTACCACTACTCACATTAAACCAACCATATTTACTTTTGGGCTAGTGATTAATTTATTGTATTAATCATAAAATATAGTGAATAGTGTAGGTAGTCATTTATTTATTTCGTTTCTATGACATAGCTCTATTTTGTAGAAATCAATTATGCAATCATAACAACAGAAATACTGCATCATTCCATTTTACGGTGACATAGTATTTATTTTACATATAAAAAATTTAAGCTAATGCAATAATTAGTTCAATTAGAAACATTGAATATTGAATAATTTAAACATTAATCGAAGACGAAGCGGTTGACAACTTTCAAACAGTTGACTAGATAATTGCAATGCGAACTGTATGCACTGAGGTCGGCAAACAGTGTTCACAGTGTGAAGGCACTTTGGACGTCGTGGCACTTGGACGTCGTGCAACAGTCAAATATTGATTGGACGTCGTGGCACTTGGACGTCGTGCAACTGGCAGAGGCTTTGGACGTGGTGCAAATGATACGTCTTTACAATTATATAGTGCGCTGTTTCACGACGTCCAAGTGCCACGACGTCCAAAGCTTGTAGAAAGACTATATTTTTGGCAGTTACTGTACTTTTGGACGTCGTGGCACTTGGACGTCGTGCAACAACTAAAAAATTATGTTTTGGACGTCGTGGCACTGGAAAAATATTATTGGACGTCGTGGCACTTGGACGTCGTGCAACACTCCCGTTCAGAGTTATGATACTTGTAGCTTACCCAGTCCAAAGTTATTTGCGATCTGGATCCCCAGGTATCTATTAGAGCCAGCAAACTTAAACTTCCATTGTTTGTCCATCAACTCTGCATGGATTGGGTTTAAAAACTTCAACTCTAAGTCTTCTGGCACTTCACTGAACATTCATATTTTTTGAAATAGTAAATCATGCACATTACCACAAAGTAAAGTTCAAATAAAGTTTCACATTTATTGAAAATAAAAACATATACTGTAATCTGTGTTATTGTTACACAAAAATGTCATTGATAAGATTATAGATATGTTTATTGTCTAAACCTAAAGAGGACCCACTTTAGATGACCCAACGGCCTAATGGGTTATAGCTTATAGCAGCGCCGAACTTCAAAAGTTACCGAATTTCCAAATTTGTTTACAAAACTGTTATCATTTAGTTAGCTAAATTATTGTATAACAACCTATAAAACACAAAAGCATCAATCAATATTTTAACATCCAAGTAACCTTAACACTCCCCAGTTGAGAAGTAGTTACTTAAACAAATTTTCTTGCAAGAGTGCAAAGTTCCACACAAGAGCACAGTTCGCCCTGAACCCATGCTAAGGTCTAAAACAACTATCTCCTGTAGTAAAAGATCATACTTAATTATTATTACTTTCTATGAGGGTTGTCAGTAATACAGATCTCCATCGAGCTCTTAAGTTAAAATCTGAGACCTGAGTTCCTTACTTTATTCATACCTAATCTAGATGATTCTTACCCCTATGGAAAAATTAGTCTTGCGTCAACGTATTGAACGTTGTACAAAAAAATTATGTTTCTATTCTGTTATGTTTGGGAAGGGCTCATTTGAATTATTGAATTAATGAATTCACTGTTGATTACTGTTGCCAGTTGCTATATGTGTATTAGTGTATACAGGGTGGCTGAAAAGTAACTTGCACCCCCCTTAACTTTTTAACCATTTGAGATATTTGAAATCGGTTTGCAGCAACCTTCTTAGATATCAGGGGCTACAATAATCATGGTAAATTTTGAAAATTTTGCTCTTAGGGGTAGCGGGGGTTGGGGGTAGCTCAAAACTTTCAAATGGCAAGTATAGTCGAGTTTGGTATCATTTTACAGGTCTTGATGAAAAAAAACAATTGACATAAAGAAAACGAAAATCGGCCCACTAATAACAAAATGGCGCCCTAAAACGTATTAAATCAAAATAACCATGAGGGTGGCTGAAAATTAACTTGCACCCACCTTTCCCTTTTTAACTATTTGAGATATTTGAAATCGGTTTGCGGCAACCTGTTTCCAAATGAAGGGCTACAATAATGATGGTAAATTTAAAAAATTTTACCCTTAGGGGTAGTGGGGGTTGGGGGTAGCTTAAAATTTTCAAACAGAAAGTATGGTCGAGTTTGGTATCATTTTACAGGTCTTGATATAACTAAACAATGAACATAAAGAAAATATCAATCGGACCATTGATAACAAAATGGCAGCTAAAAATGATTAAGAGAATGGTTATTTAAAAGTTATTAAAAGTAATTGTTAACTGCCATTCTGTTTTTAGTGGTCCAATTTCAATTTTCTTTATGTTCATTGTTTAGACCTTGTTTAGATGTTGATTGTTGTTGTTCAAGACCTGTAAAATGATACCAAACTCGACCATACTTCCTGTTTGAAAATTTTAAGCTACCCCCAACCCCTACTACCCCTAAGGAAAAAATTTTTAAAATTAACAAACATTATTGTAGCCATTCATATCCAAACAGTTTGCCGCAAACCGATTTCAAATATCTCAAACAGTTAAAAAGATAAAGGGGGGGTGCAAGTTATTTTTCAGCCACCCTCGTGGTTATTTTGATTTGATACGTTTTAGGGCCCCATTTTGTTATTAGTGGACCGATTTTCGTTTTCTTTATGTCAATTGTTTTGTTTCGTCAAGGCCTGTAAAGTTATACCAAACTCGACTATACTTGTCTTTTGAAAATTTTGAGCTACACCCCACCCCCGCTACCCCTAAGGGCAAAGTTTTCAAAATTTACCATAATAATTGTAGCCCCTCATATCCAAGAAGGTTGCCGCAAACCGATTTCGAATATCTCAAATGGTTGAAAAGTTAAGGGGGGGGTGCAAGTTACTTTTCAGCCACCCTGTAGAGAAAGGAGTTTTGACAGAGTAAGTAATGTTTTGTATTGAAGTAACTGTAAGTGTTTGACAGAGAGCCCTATTTCAGTTATAGAATTGTCCAAAATTATTCTGATAACCTTAGAAGTAGTTTCCATACAAATGCTTGGACTTCACCCAAATGAGTGTTGAAGTGTATTGACTACAATAATAGAATAGGGATATTTAGGACAAACCCTGTTTTAATGACATTGGGCTCTACTTATTAGAAATTGGGCTGTCTCACCTCTGACTCATGTTCCCTATTTTTCATAAACCTGCTGGCTAGTTCCGTGCGGAACATACATTGTCAAAGTTTGCACAAAGTCAAAAAAGGAGAATAAATTATTAAATTTAAACTAGAAGTTAAAAGCTTGTTTCAGTACTCTTTGTAGAAGAGAAAGACAATGTTTACAGACAGGGTGACAGGGACTTGTGAAATCAGCTGGAGTCCTAACATTCCCTCTTAAGTGCACAAGAGAACAATGATGTTAAAATGGTTTGTTAAAATAGTGAACTACTGTATATTAAAACATTGGATTGTACGGATGGATTGTGTTTTACTTAAATACTGTACAAATGTTTCTGGTAGAATAGTAATTTTTGCTTGACTCGTCCTGGAAGGTGTTTACGGTAAAAGCATGATAGTTCCCATGGGAGTCTTTGTCTTGCTGAGTGCAGAATTCCATGAGAGTAAACACCTGTTTTTTGGCCTTGTAGCTTAATTATTATTACACTATAACCGAACACAGTTTTTTATCATGTTTTGTGTGACAATGCTGTGCTTTATTTTGAGTACACAGAGAAATAAAGGTACACAGGAAACATGCTTATGGAACGGCTTTAAGCTTTCAACTCTGGTATGTCGGGCCGCATATAGACTTTTGAGAATCAAGTGTAAGAGCCTGAGTGGCGAGCACTGTGCAGAAATTCCTATCGCACAGGGCACAGGGTGGGGCAGGGAAATATCCCTACTTTTAAGATGCCACACTGTGAGTAGTGGGGGTGTACTGGAGGAATGAGGTTAGGCTCAAATGACGCTGTTGCTTTGGGATTTTCTAAGAATATCACTTTCAGTAGCAGACATGCCTTGTTCAAGTGAGAAATGTGCTTTTGCACTCGAGATGCATTTTTCCCAAAAATCGGTCTATTGTAGCTGTTCAGCTAGCGTGCGGTGCAAACTTGTTATCGGATGGCCTGCCGCAAAGTTGTTACATTTTGATGTGGGTGAAGGACTTCAGTGTATGTAAGGATATTTGGAGCTCAAAGAAAAATCCGATCTCCTGAAAACTTTACCTTGTCAGAAGATCGATTTTGCAGTCTCCTCAACGTTCTGCTTGTAAGCATGCATCCGCGCTGGCGTTGCCTAATCTTACTGTGCCTTGTATTCTCCAAGAGGGTCTAAACCTCCATCCATACACACTTGCAGTTGCACAAGAACTCACACAACGATACTGGCAACAATGAATGCAAGCATGTGAAATCTTTTGCGGGACTGCCTCATGTTGCCCGGGGTTTTTTTTTTTTAGTGGCGAGACACACTTCCATATTTCTGGAGCGGTAAATAAGCAGAATATGCTCTATTGGAGTAATGCTAAGCCTAGGGTAGTTCACGAGAAGACCCTAGATGCCTTGAAGGATGCAATTCACCTTGAGGTTGGCGGCACTCCACAACAAATGCTTCACAGAGTTATGATGACCTCCAGAACCAGAATACAGGAGTGTATTCACGATTAGGGACACCACTTGCAGGATATGCTGTTTAAAACCAAGTAGTGTTATCTATACTTATTTAATACGCAAGCAGGATTTTTGTGACAATTACTCCTCCGAAACTACTGAACCGATTGACATGTTTTTGGTGTCGTTGGAAAGAGCGTAACGTGAAGTTGTGCAGGAAACTTTCTTTTTAGGTAAATAATTAGAGAGTGAGGCCCTGGGGCCCTTTAAAGTTTCGTATTTCTCCATAAGATTAACATGGAAAACAAACATTGTTTTGAAACTCCAGCTGTTGTCAGAAATTAAATATTACATTTGCTTTGACATTTAAATGTAAACAACCAGAACTGTCAAATGCCTGAAGAAGAACACGTTGTTAATTGTAAACAGTCATGTAAATTATCTATGTTGTATTAGAAATGTGTATAGTTTTGGATGTTGGTTTGTGTTTAATGATATAAGTTATAATTTATTGAATTTTTATTTTAAGGATTTGGCATATGAGTATCTCTATGATAAATAACTCCATTTCAGAGTTCTGCCAGTTTTTGCATAACTCTGTTCTGTAGAGTTTAAAGTAGCCTACACCCTACACCTACAAATTGGCTAGATAACTTAGGTAGGCCTACGGTACATTATAAAAGATGATAGCCTTTTACTTTGACTTAAATTGTAAGCTTACCTTTTCCCGTCCATGGACAGTTTGATAGTTAAACATTAACCCTTTAAGAGTGGGCAGTAGCAGTCGGCCATATTGGATTGATGCCCCATAAGAACAATGTAATCTTTTGAACCATATAGCGCCGTTATTTTTTAACATAGAACTACGTTTGATGTGTCATTGGAAAGAGGATACAATTCTACAGGGGGTTTGCTTTTTATTTTTTCGATTAAAGAAATATTAAAATAATTATAGCAAAAATACGCTTGTTTAAGTTTACAAATTTGTGGAGAATTTTCTAAAGGAATATTTGAAATTCGAAAAAGCAAACCCCCTACAAAATTTAATTATCTATCGAATAAAGTTTGTTTCAAGAAGATCCGACGTAAACTGTGCACGTGATATGGTTTAAGAAAATGCATGTTTTTGCTGCGCGTCGCGGCGGTAATTCGGCGTAGTAGTCTGGCAGATCTCCGTTAGATAGCAGCACGCTCGCGCATTTGGCGGGAGTTCAAATCAGGTTTTTATGATTCTACATTCATCACGCGCTGCTAATTTTATAATTTTTTTTATTTAATGTGAAACAAATATTGTTACGAAATTATTGTTATGATTATTGTTGTCATAGTATAGTTATTGAAAGAAAGGAATTGGGGGACAGAGAGAAATGCTGTGGTGTTGAATACATTTTAAATTTGAATACTCGTATTAAATATGTTGTCAATTTATAAATACTATTTCTTAGTTATAGATGTTATAAGTACAAAACCAACATGTGTACAATCAATATAAATGAAATTCCAGAGCCCTTCTGTCCCACGCAATGATTGGAAACGAGATACAGTTTAGTAGAAATAGAAAATGTTTAATACAATATATACATTTAAGGCATTAAATTATATTCGTTTCATGTGATAACGGGCAAATTTCATAATTTAACTAATATTTACAGATGCATTAGAACGAATTAGTCTGCTGGTATAAAAATTGTTCTGTTTATAAAATAAAATTTTAAATGCCTCAAATTCAATTATATAATTTATAGTTATAAAATCAAACCGTCATAACCTAACCAAACTATAAGCTATAACGATAATTAAGAAATCGAATCAAAAAGTTTGTACACCCAGAGGTTTCGAACCGGAACCTTTAAAACATATTTCCGGTGCGATAACCACTACACCACCGAGACATGATAGATATCTGTGGGGAACGCAATCTCCTAAGCCTCTAGGTCGATCACAGCATAGATAGCTAGCTACCTACCCCCTCCCACCTTGGTCGACGTCTCGGCCGTACACACTGTAACCACGAGACACATTGCACTCGCCCCACCCAAGACCCCACTACACTACCCCCCCCCCCCCTACACCTTGTATTTCTTATTTTCGCGCCAATTCCATCCTAGACATTATTGTGAACTGTGAGGTTATGTTCTAGGATAGCAACCTAATTGGTCTGCTGTGTCCACAAGTCCAGTGTCGTTTAGAGTTCCCTAGTAATAATTCGTAGTGCTACTTACTTACAAATGTAACAAGTTGTTTCGTGTGTTTCTATTTATTCACGTGTGTGGTTTTTGTGTGGTGTCATGGGAAATAAAAAACGACCGTTGCGAAGAAAGGTGAAAAACAGAGGTGGTGAAAGGTTGGCTGAGTGGAGAGTGTTGAGAGATTCTGGTGTTGTGGGAAGTAGAAAAAGAAAACTAAGTAGTGATGTTGAGGAGCTGATTGCTGATGAGGCGATGAGCTGTGGGGAAGAGGATGGAAATTTGTTACCTCTAATTGTAGACAATTCCACGCCATCTGATCCTACTGACTGTTTGGGCAACTGTGATATTACCGGTCGTAGAATAGTTGACATTTGTTATTTAGTTGATCAATTTGTCCAACTAAGTGAACATGCGCCTCAATTTGGCTGTTCCCTCAGAAACCTGAAATTAGTTAATGAAATAAAAAGAGGGCTTAGGAGTGGGTTTGTGTTTGATTGCAACATGTGCCACATCAAACAGACAATATGGAGTGAGCCTGAACCTCGGGAAAATGCAATGTCAATGGACATAAACAGTGCAGCAGTAGCCGGTTCTATTACCAATGGCGGAGGATTTGTCGCCTTAGAACGGCTGCTGTCTGCAATGAATGTTCGTGCCATGAACCGGAAAACGTATGACAAACATGAAGAACTAATTTCGAAAGGTTGGGAGGAAACTGCTGTACAAGAGATGGCAAAGGCAGCCGAAGAAGAAATCCGCCTAGCTAAAGAACGTGGCGACGTCAACAAAGAAGGGGTTCCTTTGTTGACAGTTGTTGCTGACGGAAGCTGGGCAAAGAGGTCATACAGGAGAAACTACAACTCCCTATCAGGAATGGTAAGTGTTATTACTAAAAAATTCTCACTAATTAATACAAATAGAACTTGACGCTTATAGTATCTTTAAATTATATTAGTACAAACCATCTTATTATAAACATAAAAAGTAAAGTACCGGTAAGTGATAAAAAGTATTGAACAATTGTTATCTCATAAGTGAAGCATAATCTATTACTCAAAATTGACTTGTTCAATTTTATGTCTGTTATTATAAAATCATGAATGAAAATTGAACCGAATAATACACAAATTACGTAATATAAAAGCACATACTTCTAGTTAAAAATAATATTTGTACTAAAACTCGTAAAAATTTTAATGTTATGAATTTCTTATTTTAGGCGGCCATCGTTGGATACCATACTCGACAAGTTTTGTACTTTGGAGTTAAAAATAAATACTGTGTCACCTGTGCACGCAATCCTGAAAACACAAAACACACTTGCTTCAAAAATTGGAATGGTAGCTCATCCAGCATGGAAGCTGCAACCATTGTAGAAGGATTCTTGGCAAGTGAAGAAATGTATAACGTCCAATATGCAAGGTATATTATTGACAATATTTACAACTTGGCATGTTCTAGTTATTTATTACTAGCATAGCACCCGTCGTAACGTAAAAAGTAACCCATAATAATAACTTTTAATGTTTATCAACATTACTGGTATTTTTATTTAGTAGTATAGCATTTGGCTCATAGCATTTTAAACAATTTAAAACAATTTATTAAGTGTGATAACCCTAACCAATTGCCCTTAAAATCATCCTAAATTATAAACTAATAGACAAAACGTTTTTAGAATGATTGCGGATGGAGATAGCAGTGTCTACAATAGTGTTCTCGATGCCAATCCCTACAACAACCTAAAGGTGAAGAAAATCGAGTGCCGCAACCATTTACTACGGAACTATTGTAATAATTTGAAGGATGTTGCAACAACCAGTGCACCTAAGGATGTATCAATGTATCTTCAATGTATCAATGTATCAATGTATCAATGGATGTATCTTCAGATATTGTTTCCAACATGTGTTGGATCCAATTTACCATTCATTAATGTAATTACTTAACTTGTATCATTTTGAGTAATCTCAGAATTATTGATAATGTTGCACAATGTACATATAACAGATCAATTTAATTAAATATTATTCACCCTGTTCTTGCTTATTTTTCATGAGCCTTGTTCCACTATTTTTCTTTCGTACAACACTTTTTTACTCTTCGCATTTTTGCGCTAAACTTTCTCTTTTAGGAGCTGCATCTTACAAAAAGTAGACCGGAAGTCATTTTTTCATAAGCTATATCTCCTAAACTAGTGTGTTTATGTAATAAATATCACGTATAAAAAAGTTTTTAAATTGTATGTTCTATCCGGTATCATGATAAACTATAGGGTTTTTATAAGAAATTTCAATTATTGCTTTAGCAAATTTTGTATGATTCTTGTTCCACTTAAAAACTTTTGTATCAAAACTGATTATATTCCAATAACATTACTTTGTCTATGATATAAAATTGTAACAGGCTAAATAACATCCTAGATAAATCCACTAACAACGATGAGCAGTGAGCAAAATCGAGTGTTCTAAGTAAATAAGCGATGGAAGTGACTTTAGTGCACTCCGTCACTCCGAGCAAAGCCGAATCGCCGTCCACTCCACTGACACAGTACGTTCATCGCCAGTGCTAATGCGGCGTTGCCATACATTGGTTAGCGCCTGGCGACGGTTCGGCACAACCGCGCCCGCGCCGTGAGTCACTATCGATCGATACATGCCTGTGACGTCTAGACTGCCACGCACGTAGTTCAACAAATGTCCGCTCCACTCCACGCGCGCTACTGTGCCAATTTCGGAATTCTTCTTTTACTGGGACCCACTCTTAAACTGGAATAGGACTGTTATGTAAATTGTGAGTATTTTTATCAGTTAATAATCTTTTAGTTGACTCTTTTAAATTCATCGGAAATTTGTTATTAGTTTTTAAACAAGTCATATGTTTATTTGTAACTCCTCAACTCATGTACTTATTTGAAATTGCTCGATTTCGAGCAACATGTACACTAGTATTAAAATAAACTCCCAGATGTAACCTTTCAATCCCAATATAAACTTTGGTTCTAATATTTTGGTTGTCTTTTAATGCACCTTCAAAATTAGAGATACTTCCATGCCCCACCCTGTAGTACTTGAGGGTGAGAGGGGTCTAGGACTTTCCTCTAGACACCACTGAAGTGTACCATTGAATGTTCCCTCAGTACCTTACTAGGTACTTCTCTGTGATGTGTATGATAAATTTGGACTACAGACAAAGGTAAAGAAGCCTTTGTTAATATTAGTAACCAAATTTCATCAAAACCAGTTACCTCACTAGAAGACTTTTATGCAGAGGAAGCCAAAGCAAATCTTCCTCAACTCCATTAAGATTCACTCCTTTATATTTTGCAACTTTTCGAATTATTGGGGCAAACCTCTTCAATGTTGCTTGAAAGACATAACTGGTGGAAAACCAAGGAATCCTCTCAGTTTTGGAAAGAGCTTCTTCCAAATCTGAATTATCCGTGTTTGCAGTAAATATGTGGAATATTGTATACGACATGTCTCCCAGCTGTAATTGAACATAGGAGAAATGTACCCCGTATTTCGTATACAGACTATGTGAGGCCAACAATTAAATACCAATATCACCTACCTAAATATGAATACTTGAATACTAAGGCTATTTCCTTGAATACTTTTTTCTTCATCTTTGACCTACAAGGTTGGATAGATTGCGTCTATTTACATTATAAAACACTATAAATATATACAACTAAGCAACAATAGCGGGAGCGGTGGTGGCGGTATTTACAAATCTGAAAGGTTCATCAAACAATTCTTGTCGACTGAGCAAACTGGCGTAGATCTGAATAGCTTTTTTTTCAAGAACACAAACGCCTATTGGCATTGTATTGGAAAGCCAAATATCTTGCAATGGGTATGATATTAGAGTGTGACCGAATTGGCAGCAGGGCAGGGCAAGATCACATGCTCTACGTGTTCCGTAATCATGCTGCATACTTCTAGTCATGAATGATGACTCATTTTTATGTAAACGTATGAAATTTTTGTACAAACTACGTTAAAGCATTGACTATTGTATACTGAAGTATACATGCTATATCTCATATTATATATATGGACCAGCTGTCACCTGTTGTTTATCAAGAGTTGTAGTGGATTGAGCCAGTCACAGAGTATGTAATTACTGTCTAAATTTAAATTTTTCTCTTATTTTTATAGTTAAGTACTGAGATATAGTTGGATTGACATAAAGCTGCTGTAGCTCACGATGTACAATGCCTGTTAGTTTGACTTTGGTTGAATAGTTGCAGGTTTGACAGAAATCAGTCACACCATATATGTAGGACATTCTGTTTGATGGATAAATTGAAATACATTTATTTCCAATTTTAAAACTGGCAATAATTTGACATGGAGATGAAATTACAAGTATCTACCAACAGTCGAAGGTTTAATTTAACTGTTATACAATGTTATGGGGTATAGTTTTATAAAGGTCTTAGGAAATATCCTAAGAGGACTAAAAAAGTTGCATTGCTAATCAAAACTCATGCTAAAAGGTAAGTTACAATTGACAGTTAAAACATATACTCTAGAAAGAATATACAATTACATGAAATTACTATTACATAGCATCTTTGTTTTGTTAGATCTATAATTGTTAAAAGATCTACAATATCAGTATCAGATAAAAATAAAACCCAATATTATCAGGTCAATTAACCCAAACAAATTGTTGGTTATCGCTCTAGATAACGCCTGTCATTCTTTTAAACAAAAATTTGCTTGCATTTGTGTTTGAAAATATTATTGAATGCATCATGATCACAATATTGTAATTAATCGGGTCATTATGACCAGATTATTGTGATCATCACAATCAAGCTATGACCCGGTCATAGCTTTAAAAATTAAAAGAGATTTTTGTTGACATGTGTATAGTTGAACCTATGGCAAAAAACACAAAAAGTACCCAACGGAGTGATATGGACTTAGTTTGATTATTAAGCAGCAATTTGCCCCTAATTCTAAGACTGTGGATTTTATAAGGACCTCTCGACCTCTCCTACCAACTCTGCCAGACAGGAAAACTCCTTATGATTTTCACACCGCGGAGATAGCAGCACCTTTATAGGCCCGGATCACACGAACGACACACCTAGCAGACTAGGCTTGGACTAGGTAAGCACTAGTAAGCAGGACTGGGTAGCGGACCACAGGATCACACCGGTTCACACGAGCGACATGTCTACGGACTAGGTGAAAATATCGATAGCAAAACCACTCGGTTCAATCACTGGTGCACAATTAGAACAAAGGTAAGGATGCGAGCTGCAGCTCGACTACCCGATCGCTCGTGTGAACGCTCCCATAAGGCTACATGTACTGATACGCAGTTCGACTGGGCGACTGGGTAGTTGCCACAACGGACTGGGAAGCGGGGCCCGACTGGGTTTTGGGACATCAAGCTTGAACACGACTAGCTAGTCGGCGTCCTAGGCTCGTGTGAACGGCTCCATTTGATCCTGTGGTCCGCTACCCAGTCGTGCTTACCTAGTGCTTACCTAGTCTGCTAGGTTTGTCGTTCGTGTGAACCGGGCCTTAGACTTCTTGGCCATTGATTAATTATTAAGTCATTGGTGGTCATCAAGTATAGCCTAATGGCAAGCAAAAATACTGGTTAATCCAAGCCCAAGTCTAGTTATATCTATGATTGCCTTTAAAATTGCAACTCGCCAGAGGTACAGTAAGTAGCCGTTTCGCTACTTATTCTCAAATAGGTATGTAACTAAGTAACAATTTTTTATTTCAATGTTGCTCAAAATGGCGGATGAATCACCCTTGATGACTTCAGCTGTTACGTAACCAAGCATTATTAATTTACTTACATCAAAATGAGCCTCAAATAAATAGACTCCGGTTCTTAGTGATCCATATCTGTAAAGAGTCTGTTTTGGATTTTTTACACCCGCATTGTTGTATTCACCCATGATTTCAACATACTGGCAGAACTGAAATTAAATTATTATTAAATGTTTATGTTAAAGTAAGTTATGATAAAAATATAGCTGGCAAAACATAGACCGTCGTTGACTAATAATGGTACCGTAATGTAAACCATCAATACCTGTAAGAAAGATGTCCTGTCGTGACTCAGGCGCGTGTCTGTTGTAGAGTTGTCCGAATAACCTGAACGTGATACTATTGACCGCAAGGGTATAAATAAGCAAATAAATATTTTTTTTTTTAAATATATAATAGTGTTGGTGATAAGATGACAAATTTGAAAGACCTATAAGATGCCAAACAAGCTGGTGAAATGGAAAGAGTGGCACAAAAATCTTACTTACTCAAGAACTACAGGCTGGAAAACAAAGGTAAAATAATATAATTCTTAAGTTCTTGAACTGAGATTTCATTAAAAAAATGAGGAACATATAATTCTATTTTAGGTAATTGAAATATTTCGGAACTGTCTAATCCTGAATTAAACCATAAAAATCGCAAATTCTATTAGCATTTCCACAAATTACAAAATTTACAACAGTCACCAATTATGCATACAAACAAGATTTTCTAGACTTAATCTACTGGATTGGAAATTAGACTCTTTGTATTGCTTTAAAATCATAAAAAGAATTATCATTAAAATCATACAATAAATCGCCATAAGTAGATTAAATTTATATTACTTACTGGATAGTAGTTTTCAAATGACTGTTTAAATACTTCCACAAGACTAGGTATATAATTTATTGACACTTCCTGAAAAATATCCGTCATTTCAACGCTGAAAAATAAGTACAAATTTAATTTTTCATAACTATAGTCCCAAATATATCTGGAATTATGGAAAGAAGTTTGAAAATCCCGCCTTACATCCTAAAGGAATAATCAGAGTAACCTCCAATGATCCATCATCCCCTATTACAGTACCACAGGTTAATTATCTGTTTCTTGTTGCTGAGAATTTTAGATGCTAAATTGTCTTGTTTTAGCAAATTTCTCATATAGGCATGAACTATAACCTAAGGTCTCAAATTGGTAAGACTGGACATGGAAATTCATTTTTTTCATAAACTGCATTTATATGATGTGTCCATTGGCATAATAACTCTAGCAAAAATGATTTGATTTTGATTAAATCTATATCTATAAAAGAGGAAGTATGTAGGTATGTATGTATATACCCTATGGACTCCGAAACTGCCCGAAAGATTCTAATGAAACTTTCAGGCTTCATTAAACATTATTCAAGGATGGTTTGTGTGAAGTTTGATGCAGATCCGTAAAAAGGGTTCCGCCCCAGAGGGTTTTGAACAATGTCAGACTTTTGGAACTGCAATTTTTACAAATAAATATAATTTCAAAATAGATGTTTACTTCGACTAATAGTAAATTAAGAAAAGTCCATCTACACAGCAGATCTAGGGAACATTATAATTCTCAAGCTCCTTTGCCATTATTTTCAAGGAACCAAAATTGCCTCTTCTGCATCTTGACCCCTTTGCAAGGCACGGGTAGCGGCTAGTTTGGTACAAATGTGTAAACCTTCATCAACACAAATCAAACAAGTTTGTGATACAGTCATTGTCAGACTATGCAGGAAGGGTTTTATAGAGTAAAATTAGTTTTTCTTATTATTCTATACACATAAAGGTTTTCGATTTCTTTCTTAAGCATTTGCACTTAATTAAGGATAAAATTTAAAGAAAATCCAGGTCAAGGTCTTAATGGGACCTAACATATTCTCCATTAAAGATTTGTTGTTAAAAGATGAGGCCATAATTTTAAAGATAACTTGTAAACTTGCAACTGAAAAAGAAATGTTGAGACAGAGACAGAATGATTGATGGTAACTTTATTAGGTACAATAACTTTCAACTTTCAACTGACATATTTCATTTGCTAAATCACTGTACTTACTATATTAAACACACTAACACTAACACACTTGATATTCCTATTCTATCTCACAGATGATAAGATGGCAGAGAAAAAGTGTTGACTTGGCGGGAACGGGAAGGTGCCGTAAGAGTTAAATATACCACCACCAAAACCAAGAATTTGTTGTATGTGTGCACTGTGCAGTGCAAGGGAACAAATTATCTCCAGAATAGCCAACTTAAAATGAATAAGTGAGCTTTGTGATGTCTCATAGTGCATAATCCCAAAGTGCCTAATCGTGAGGTTGGTGGCGTGGCATAATAAGTGCCTAAAAGTAAAAATACGATACAGTGCATAATATAGAATAGATAACACACTCCCTTAGTAGATTTATAGTCCTTATGGAAAATCTGAAGCCAATTTTATTATTAGTAGAGACAGAGTTTCAGTTTGGTGCACTGTAGATGTCGTGTTTTGTTTACAATTTTTTTTAGTTATTTCAGTCTAACGCTTTTTAAACAAATAAAACTGTCTAATCAAGCAATAACGTTTCCGCTAGTTACATAATAAAACAAACAGTAAAGCACAAATCATGAAATTAACTCTAAAATAATAGAAAAGAATTTCGTCGACACTAGCGACCAGTGTCACCGCACTTAAACTAGACACAAAAAATATTAAGCTTCAAAATTTACTACATATATGGGATGAGGAGAAGAAGTCTACTTATGTGTTTGGTTAATGGTTAGTCTATCATGGTTATAGTTTGTATTCTGCTGAGGGATGAAATCGTGGATAAAACCATAGATAAAACACACTCCCTTAGGGACCAAAACTTGTGTTGGTTCTATGATAAAAGTAGCCCGTTAAAAGTCGATGGTAAAATCTATCTATGTCCCATACTCTTAATTCTCTGTAAAACACTGTAAATCTAAAGGTCAACTAAGAAAAAATAAGAAACAAAATAATTACCATACACTAACTGACCTAATGGCCAATGAACTTATAAAATGCTATTTTATTAGAGTACGGTTGCCACGTCAAGGTGTTGCAGTACCCTGTCAACCCTCCTGCTTTACGGCGTTTCGGCCAGAGCAGAGGCCATAGTCAAGTCCAAGAGAGCTAAGTTATATAAATATATATTATATACATATATTTATTAGTAAATTAAATAAATAATTAAACATTTAGTACCCTTTAAGTTATATTAATTTATTGAATAACTAACATGTTTCGGCTCTTTTGATCACAGGCTATGAACAAATAGTAAATAAATAGAAATGTAAATAACCAATAAGTAAATTATCATATGATTTTGAAATTTTATGAATACACATTTATTTTTCCGTTTTTGATGAAATTTTGCTTGAAGGTGTAGGGTGGGATAAACTTAAATGAGTTCGCGAACCAGAATGATCGGACTATGTGCACAGGGTTTTACAGGGTTTTTAGGGGGGTTTTATAGGATACATTTTTTCTAATTTTTGACCCTCAAACAAAATATTTCCCAATTTCTCGTAATACTATTTTTAAAGCTTAAAAAACAAATAATTTTAGTAAATTGTGAAGGGGTTTTTAATGGTTACCGTATTGGTTGTGAAAAAAATCGTAAATTTAAAATTACTGTGCTATATTATAATGAAGAACACTGTTGTATATTGCTCGTTTAAGGAAATATTTTGATCAAACTTGGCAAATTAACTTATTTTATACTAAGATATTAATATTCTGCTAAAAATGGTACTTTTACCCTACCCTCCCTGTAGCAGAAAACCTAGGTATATTTGTTTAAAATAATGTTATTTAACTAAATTTAATTGAAAATCCAATTGGGCAAATTAAAATTCACTTAGTCTGCTGGTGTGTTACGGCGGGGGTTTTTAATAATTTTAATTGTCTATGATGGTAGTTTAGGGATGAGCATCGATGGGCCAACCATCGATGCGCCAATATAGCATCATAATGCGAAAACATATCGATGTTTTCGGGGCTAAAACATCGATACCACAACATCCCACGCCGAATCGACATTAACTACTGAAATATCATGCCAAACTAGCGTTTAGTCCCTCCGTATTTGATGTCAAAATTTCGGTTTTCTAAGTTAAAAAATTCCTTATTAAAAGTCGAAATTAAGTGTTTAGATGCCAAGATCTGGCCCACCTTACAACTATATGAATAAACTAATACAGTAATTCTAACTTTTTTCTCAGAGAGTCAGGAACGCCCACTACTACAGTAGTTAAATTCTGACTTTAATCTCAGAGGGGAACGGGAACGCCCACTAGTTAGCGTATGGTCTTCTGTTCTTATTATTATTAAAGTAGGCTGTGGTGAATGTAAATAATTGATTTAAATAAAACAAACATCTTCAGTAAACTCAAAAGTTGCCATCTTTATTAAACCCAAATAATTAGAGAAGAAAGATACTCACAGACGAGGCTCCCCCACTACTGAAAGTTACAGTTGTGCCAATACAGCAAAATACAAAAATACAATTAGATTATAAATAAATACTTATAACAGTGATATTCCGACTTTAAACTCAGAATTCTGACTTTTATCTCAGAAACTTCCCTCGTTCTAACTTAAATCTTAAAATCCTAAGTTTTTTTCTCAGAGATGAAGAAAAAAATTTTTACAGTTGGTGGCCCTTCAATGCCGTCGTAGTTCCAGTTTAAGTAGCTACATAGAACAAAAAATGCCGAAAACCTCGATGTTCTATTTTTCCTGATTCGCGAATTTTACTAATGACGTCCTTGCAAAAAAAGCTATTTCATCAAAATGCAAATATTTTTATTTGTAGGTTTAGGTTAGAATTTCCAAATTGAATCTGGAAGGAGGGCAACAACTATAACTTACATTTTGGATTTTAGGTAATAAAAGGGTTTGTGGCATTTTGTAATTCAGTCTCTGTTTAGTTATATATATATAGTTAACCTTATATTCACAAACTGCTAACAATCATAGGTTAAAATTAAGGAGTGGTTATCTGTTTTGCTTCATTCTCATGGGAAAGTATGACTTAAAATAATTAGTGATTAATACTAAATAGGCTACCCTTTGCTGTACTCAAATATCATAGCAATGGGGATGAGTAAAAAAGCTTCACCCTATAAGTAAGGGCCTATTTATAACAGTTTACTCACACACTTATTCTTATTGGCCCCCTACTTGGGTTCTTAATTTGGGAAGATAAACCTAGGGTAAGCTGGGTAGCCTTGGCTTAGACTACCCTAATTATTTTTTATGCATTAGCCTAGGCCTAGGCTTGGTGAAAATAAGTTTGGTTGGTAGTTAGTAGGGGCCTATGGAGATATCTCTAGAGTTAGGCCTGTATGTATTTCTAAGGATTTTAACTTATTAGCTTAAAGCCTACCTACAAGTAGGGTCCTATAAAACCTTTTTAAGGCATTTTTCCTTTGAAGCTATAAGCGTGTTTAATGTTTTAGGCTGATATGTTACATTGTGTTACACTTGGGGAAAAGTGGCATATTGTGTAGGGGTACAGTTTCTTAACTGGGCTACGCTAATACGGTAAGTTAACTTATTAGGTCCGTTGTTGTTCCTGGTAATGATTAATGACCTTGATAGAGATGGAGGGGTGGTGCTTTTTGCTGACTACACAACCCTGGTGTCACGGGGTCCCCAAGTTGAGCTGTCCACTGCAGATGCCAACCAACATCTCTCCGTAGCATCCCGCTGGTTTGAAGAAAATGGGTTTCAGCTCAACCAGGAAAAAACCCAGACACTTGTCTGCAGTCTGGCAAGAAATGCCCCACCTAATGAACCAGTTAAGCTACCGTACTTGGATTCCATCTGGACAGGAAATTGGCGTGGAACAATCACATAGGCAACGTTAGCAGCAAACTGTCTAGGGTGTGCTGTCTTCTGCTCAAGCTGCGAAATTTTATTACTGAACAGTACCTGCTGTACGACATATTACATTTAGTGACCGCCTTGCCCATTGCAAACCCATCTTTGCAAGGCTGGGGATATTCACGGTTTATAGCCATTACATCCTCGTATGCTCACTGATGATCCATGACAACTGCGCCAACTTTCAACTTCGTTCAGCGGTTCATGACCACCAAACTAGGCAGCGCGGGTTGCTTGATGTGCCCAGGGTTAGGCTGACAAGATCCCAGAAGAGTTACAACACGGGAGCAATACAAATCTATAACAAGCTGCCCAACTCTATCAAACAGCTTGAGCGTAAGCTTTTCTTAAAGAAGCTGGTCCCTCTACTCAAGTCAAGAGCCTACTATTCCCTAAAACAATTTTTTGAAGACATTTTCCCAGAATTTTCTGACTGATCCGCCTATCCACATTGCCAATGTTGTAAATATATGTTTTGTATTTATGTCAGTTTGTCTAAATGTATATTTTTGATTTTTGAAAGTATTGACACCATCAATCCCTTTTGGGTAAAAGATGAAGATACGGTAATAGTAATAAGGTAATTGATTGAAACCATCGAATTGAAAATATTGATTAAGTTAGTAACCGATATTTTAAAATATAGGCTAATTTATCTATTATAAAATTAAACTATCATAACCTGATGAAATGAGGGAATAAAATACATAAAATACTTTATTAATAATTGATGTAAAAAGGAAAGATACTAGTAGTACGCTTGTTCTGCGCGTAACGGGATGAGTGAACATGAGCGCAATAATGAAAGAGTCCACCCACACCTAGCATACTTACCGGTGTCACTGGTGAACACAAAAATGTTATTTGTATCGGCAAATCAACCCATGAGTCGGGGCAAATAATGGTGAGTCGGGGGCTCAGTCGGTAGCGTCACGCGGACTTCGGGCCCAAGGCAGCGATGTCGTGGGTTCGGATCCTAGTCACAGCCACTAAATTTCAGTTCACCTTTGTCCTGTACCGGCTCACCCCTTGCTTTGCTGTAAACGATCCACGCACGGGCGCTTAGTCTATGTGGACAGGCAAATGCAAGGTTAAAAGAGGCTGCCAGTGCCAACCTCTTAAAAAAAACCAAATCTCAGTCAACAAAAATCCTAACTTCTCGTCCATTAATTAACCAAAGTCATTGGTAATATACGTAATGTATTTCCTGTTTCTCTCTCTTCTCATAGCATTTTATTATTGCAGATACATCAATCTAAGTGTCAAAGAGTTCCCATCACAAAGAGTTAATCACAAAGAGTTCCCACACTCTGGACTGTTCACCTTGACTACTTCCTTCACCACTTCCTACTCGTGGACCTGTTTCCCTCTCTGCTCATAGCATTTTAGTATTGCAGATACATTAATCTAACTGTCACAAAGGGTTCCCACACTCCGGACTCCTCGCCTTGACTACTCCCTTCACCACTTCCTACGTCGTGGACCTGTTTCCCTCCCTTCCCATGGCATTTTTAGAATTGCAGACACTGAACATTTTTCTAATCATCACTGAGGGTTTCTACACTCCGGAATGCTCGCCTGGACTACTTCCTTCACCACTTCCTACGTCGTAGACCTGTTTCCCTCCCTTCCTATAGCATTTTAGAATTTCAAATAGATTAATTTAACTTTCACAAAGGGTTCCCTCACTCCGGACTGTTCACCTTGACTACATCCATCACCGCTTCCTACGTCGTGGACCTGTTTCCCTCCCTTCCCATAGCATTTTAGTATTGCAGTTACACTAATCTAACTGTCACAAAGGGTTTCTACACTCCAGAATGCTCGCCTCGACTACTTAAATTACCACTTCCTACGTCGTGGACCTTCCCTTCCTTCCTATAGCATTTTAGTATTGTAGGTATATTAATCTAACTGTCACAAAGGGTTTCTACACTCCGGACTGCTCGCCTCGACTACTTCCATCACCGCTTCCTACGTCGTGGACCTGTTTCCCTCCCTTCCCATAACATTATAGAATTGTAGTTACATTAATCTAACAGTCACAAAGTTTTTCTACACTCCAGAACGCTCGCCTCGACTACTTCCATTACCTACCACTTCCTACGTCGTGGTCCTGTTTCCCTCCCTTCTTATAGCATTTTAGAATTGCAGTTACACTAATCTAACTGTCACAAAGGGTTTCTAAACTCCAGAATGCTCGCCTCGACTACTTCCACTACCACTTCCTACGTCGTGGACCTGTTTCCCTCCTTGCCTACTCCGGACTGCTCGCCTTTGACTACTTCCATCACCGCTTCCTACGTCGTGGACCTATTTCCCTTCCTTCCCATAGCATTTTAGAATTGCAGTTTCACTAATCTAACTGTCACAAAGGGTTTCTAAACTCCAGAATGCTCGCCTCGACTACTTCCACTACCATTTCCTACGTCGTGGACCTGTTTCCCTTCCTTCCTATAGCATTTTAGTATTGTAGGTATATTAATCTAACTGTCATAAAGGGTTTTTAACACTCTGGACTGCTCGCCTCGACTACTTCCATCACCGCTTCCTACGTCGTGGACCTGTTTCCCTCCCTTCCCATAGCATTTTAGTATTGCAATTACACTAATCTAACTGTCACAAAGGGTTTTTACACTCCAGAACGCTCGCCTCGACTACTTCCATTACCACTTCCTACGTCGTGGACCTGTTTCCCTCCCTTCCTATAGCATTTTAGTATTGCAGGTATATTATTCTAACTGTCACAAAGAGTTTCAACACTCCGGACTGCTCGCCTTGACTACTTCCATCACCGCTTCCTACGTCGTGGACCTGTTTCCTTCCCTTCCTATAGCATTTTAGTATTGCAGTTACACTATTCTAACTGCCACAAAGGGTTTCTACACTCCGGACTGCTCGCCTTGACTACTTCCTTTACCGCTTCCTACGTCGTGGACCTGTTTCCCTCCCTTCCTATAGCATTTTATTATGGCAGATACATTAATCTAACTGCCACAAATGGTTCCCACACTCCGGACTGCTCGCCTTGACTACTTCCTTCACCACTTCCTAAGTGTCGTGGACCTATTTCCCTCCCTTCCCATAGCATTTTTAGAATTGCAGATACATTATTCTAATGGTCACAAAGGCTTCCCACACTCCGGACTGCTCACATTGACTACTTCCTTCACCACTTCCTACATCGTGTACCTATTTCTCTCCCTTAAGTATTACCGATACGTTAGTCATAAAGGGTTTCCGTACTCCTTTCTTTTCACTGCTCACCTTTCCGCTTCCTCTACGTCGGGGACCTGTTTCCCCCCCCCCTTCGCATTGCATTTTAAAAATATACTAACATCTTTGAATATTTAATATTCAATGCCAACATTAAATTGAATAATGTAAAAAGCTGCTTTGTTCTAAATACAAACATACCTATATACTTTTAATTTAAAGGTGAATTTTAATACTGCACATAAAAGGTATATAACTGCCGACTAATATTGTTAAGTTCAATTTATTATTCTGAAAGTTGTGAAATTTAATTAGCTTAAATAACATTATTCTGAAAGCTGTGAAATTATAATGATATATATTCATAGACGCCAAACTGTTTACTCCATGAATGAAAGAGCTTAGAGTAAAAGTCGTTCTCTCTGTCTTAAGTAGACAACAAATTTTTTGGTCGCAAAACGTAAACAAATACAAAGAAGAAGAAGGTAGCTCCTAATGTTATTCTTATGGGACAAATTTAAAAATGTTTTTTAAGTATTTTATAATTACTACTGAGCGGAATCGTCTAGAATTTTAATGAGGTCTTCCCAGTCGTGTCATAATTATTTGTGCAAAATTTGAACGCTATAAGTGCGACGGTTCTTGAGTTTTTGGTGCGAACACACAGACACACACAAGTGGACAACTTTTCTCCGACTCCGCTAGACACGAACACGATACATAGATTCGTTCACTTCGTTCACTCATCTATTAAAACATTAACACTTCAAACTGTGAACATATTAGAACAACAAAATAATCTATTCAAGCAGCTGATATAAAAAGACACATTAAAAAGATATTTGATTATATAGCATTAAACAAAGCAATACTATATAAAATCTTCAACATTCCCCCTTAATCAAACATCTTTTTTTATTATTTTATCTGAGTCTTTAAGTCCCATGTCCGTCACAAAGTTATTAAATTTTTCACGTGACAATGATTTGGTTAAAATATCAGCCGTCATATTTTCAGTTGGCAAATAGGCTACTTAATTTAAATGCACTTCTTAACCATATTCTTGACCTTTAGCAACAAGATGTGCTTTGAACTTCTCACGATCACCATCTACATTTTTCTTAGTTTTATAAACCCACTTGCGTTTAACCATATTTTCATTCTTCGGACGATCAACCAACTCCCAAACATTGTTCTTAATCACAGAATTATACTCTTCATCCATGGCATTCATCCATTCTTCTTTGAAATTACTTTTAATTGCCTCATTGAAAGTTTGTGGTTGATCAAAAACATCGACAGCTTGATATGAAACGAAGTCGTTCATCCATAATGGTTTTCTGCGATCACGTTCAGGTCTCTTATCTTCTATCGAAGAATTTCCTTCTTACAAAACTTGCTGTTCTAGATAAGAATTTTCATTTTCTGAAACTTCCTGTTCACTTTCACTGTTAGAATGAACAAGATTTTCTTCGTTGTCAACAGATGTCATATCATTGTTTGGTTCTTCCACAAGTTCAGTTGTACTACTGTTTATAACAGTGTATTCAACTTGTCGACTTTCATTTTTCAGGTCATCTTTCACATCAGAGGTATGACATTGGTCTTCTACAAAAACAACATCACGTGCTTTTATTATAGAATAAGGTTTCTTAGGATCCATTAGTCTGTAGCCTTTGGAATGTTCACAATATCCAACCATAATACAAGGCTTTGCTTTTGTGTCAAGTTTCTTTCTGTAACATTTGGGAATATGAACATAAGCTTTACAGCCAAAAACCCGTAAGTGACTTAGATCAACCTTTGAACCAGTCCAAACTTCCTCTGGTGTTGCATCCTTTAAAGCTGCTGTAGGACTACGATTCTTCAAATAGATAGCTGTGTTACAGCTTCTCCCCAATATCGTTTTCCTAAACCTGAATCTTGAAGTAAACATCTTGTCTTTTCAACTAGTATTCGGTTAACACGTTCACTTACACCATTTTGCTCTGGAGTGTGGGGTATAGTGGTCTCATAAATAATGCCATTTAAACGTAGAAAATCTGCAAATTGTTAACATACTCACCCTTGCCATTATCAGTTCTCAAGCGCTTAATTTTAAAGCCAGTTAGATTTTCTACTTCCATTTTGAAGTCTTTGAACTTACTTAAAACTTCATTTTTGTGTTTAAGTAAATAGCCAAAAGTTTTTCTTGAGAAATCATCGGTGAATGTTAAAAGATAAAGAGATCCACCCCAACTTTTAACTGACATAGGTCCACATAAGTCTGAATGAATCAGCTCAAGTAATGAAGTAGCTCTGATACTTTGACCTTTAGGAAAAGATTTTCTTGTTATCTTACCTTCAATACATGCGGTACAAGTATTCTCCTTTTCTGATTTTGAATAATTTACTCCATTAACTAAACCATTTCTTAGTAAATCCATTCCTTTATGACTTAAATGGCCTAATCTACGGTGCCACGTACCTTTGGTAGCAACTGCAAGAGCAGCTGATGAATTATCTTCTTTGAATTCAGAGTGACCATTCAACTCTGTTGGCTCAATTAAGTTTAGTTTATATACACCACCATCATTCACAGCAGAAATGTCACTATTTCCCTCTATTCGACAGTCATTTTCTGAATAAATTCTGCACGAATCTTTGTCAAAAACTACTATTTTACCTTTTTCTGTAATTTTATTTACAGACAACAAATTAGTAGCAAGTTCTGGTATGTATAAAACATCCTTAACAGTAACTTTATTAGAATTTTCTATATAAAGTTCAATATCACCAACACAATTACTTGTAAGTTTTGCATTATTGGCCACCAAAACTTCCTTCTTTTCAAACTTACCATTTTTCACCATTTGATTACTCATATGAGTTGTACAACCTGAATCAATTACCCAATCATTATGATCAACTTTGGATTCATAAGATTTTATATTTTCAGTATGGAAAACAGTTGTAAGCAACAGATTGTCATTTTCTTTGTGTTTCCCAACATAATTTGCCTTAGATCTGTGCTGAGAATTATTGCCAAGATTATGACAGTTAGGCCAATGAATACACAAACTATAAAGAAGAACAGGTCCTATGGACCTAACAGTATTTTCAAATTTGGCGCGCGAAATATCTGTAGTTCTGCACTGAACCACCACTCAGCGCTGTAGTCAAGTTTAGCACGCGGTGAAGTGCGAGAGAGAGCGACATACACCGTTTTCGTCCCCTGTGGGCCAGGCCACGAGAGAAAGAGAGAGGGGGCGAAAACAGTGTATGTCGCTCTCTCTCGCACTTCACCGCGTGCTAAACTTGACTACAGCGCTGAGTGGTGGTTCAGTGCAGAACTACAGATATTTCAGGCGCCAAATTTGAAAATACTGTTAGAATATTGTCCATAGGACCTGTTCTTCTTTATAGTTTGTGTATTCATTGGTTAGGCTTAATATGTCCAGATTGATTACAAAGATGACAAATAATTTTCTTCTGCGGTCTAAACTTACCTTTTGAATCTTTCAACTTCTCAATTTTCTTGGCATAAGAATGTTTAGTTGCCAAAGCTGATTCACTTCCAGTTGAAGTATTTTCAGACCTCCTAACATTCTCTTGTAAGAGACGAGTTTTAACAAACTCACTTGAGACAGTTGCTTGAGTAACTTCAATACCCATAATAAGCGGTTCATATTCTGAAGGTAAACCACCCAGAAGTAACATTGCAACTTCTTCATCATCAACAATGTGATTTATGTCTGCTAACTGTTGAACTAAGGACAAAGTTCCATTTACATAGTCTGCCATTGTGCTAAAATCTTCCAATTTAGTTCTAAGTAAACGTCTTAAAAGACTAAGTCTTCTAACTAAACTTTTGTTTTCAAAAGCATTCTGGAGATTATCCTAAGCTTCTTTAGCAGTGTTAGCATTCCTAACATAAGGATAACAAGTAGGCAAAACATTTAAACAAATTTTTGCAAGAGCCTTTTGATCCCTGTTTTTATCTTTTATTTCAGTATCATCAGATACACAATCCCAAAGTCCATCAATTATTATGGCCATTTTCATAGAAAACTTCCAATTGTTATAATTTAAAACACCCTCTAGACGTTCAACATTACTATTTCCTCCAATTATAATATTTGTCATACTAGACAATCCTTTATTACTTGAGGTAGGTGTAATAGTATGAGTTGTATTAGTGTTTTCTTGTGTAGTTTCCATTTTAGGTCAACAACAACAAAATTCAGTTCAAGAAATTGGGTAACAAAATATGTTTCATAAGCCTAGAAATCTTACCAAACACAATCAGTCCAGAATTCTTCATTTTAATGTAGTTTTATACATATTCAAAATGAATTATATCAAAAATGTCTTCTGGGCCCATAACCTGATGAAATGAGGGAATAAAATACATAAAATACTTTATTAATAATTGATGTAAAAAGGAAAGATATTAAAACATTAACACTTCAAACTGTGAACATATTAGAACAACAAAATAATCTATTCAAGCAGCTGATATAAAAAGACATTAAAAAGATATTTGATTATATAGCATTAAACAAAGCAATACTATATAAAATCTTCAACATAACCTAACCTAACCAACCAAACTTAAGTAAGTAAGTGAGTAAGTACCCTATTCAAGTAAGTAAAAATGCTTAAAAAAATTGAAAGCAGTAAGGGGGTCAGTACATTAACAGTTAATTAAGAGGTTAGAGTCAAATGTTGGTAAAACTTAGGCTATTTTAAAAGTTAACTTCCAAGGGTTCCTTCTATTAGCCTATTTCTAACCTAAATGGGACTTAGTTAGGCAGGATGTTAACTTATATCCGGATATTTATAGGCATGCACTGTGGATGCGATACACCCTGGTGTGGATTAACGTCCGCACGAGTGAGTAGGCCTACTATGACTACCCGCAGTACTATCCTGATAATTAGACCAATTCGTATAAACCAAGGCAAAAATGTGGTTCGGAAATCTATAAACTGTAGGTCCCTTGGTTGCCATTAGCTGTATGGGCTATTAATTAACAGCTGTGTCTAAGGAATGTCGGCCTTAGTCACTAACAAGACTATAATATTGCGCCACTCATCCTACACTCATCTCCATTCATACTTGGCTTAAAATACCTGCTATGTATGGTCGCCATTTCATTGAACAGTATCAATTTGAAAAAGAAAATAATTGCAATTTCATTTTTGTTTGGATTTGTAACTTATACTAGGTTCCCCTGTGTTCTGTGTTAAATGCTGAAGGCACATGTGTAGGCCTAATTAATTTGTGTGGATTGGTCTGGAAAAAAAGTAGATGTTTCCAAGCGAATCAAAATGAGTACATACCAATGTTGTCACTAGTAAGATATTTGTCACCCTAACAGTACACCCTTAAAGTAAATGTATTATTTAAACATTCTTTTCTGAATCACAGAAAATGGCAGCCCCACCACTGATGAGAAGCTTAAGCACTAAAGCTGAACAGAACAAGAAACTTCAACGACCTCGACCTCTTAGGACGTCTAGCAGCCAAAGCAGAATATCTGCAGACTTCACCAATATTGACCACTGTAAGTATGCCAGTCGTTATCACTTAACTTATAGCTTTTTTTAAAGCTAGCATAGAGTCCTTTATCTATCTAAAGCTGATAAATATTGTTTATTCCAGTTGATAATAATATTACTCACATTGAGAAGGTAAAAAATGAAATAACTTCCATGTTTTTTATAGCAAGAATTGCAATATCAAGACTTAGCCTATAAAGAGAACCTTGAGCACACCAAATATAGGCCATTTAGCTTAATTCTACCAAGTGGTTAGGCTTGTTTTTTTTTTTTTATTTATTAACACCTATGATATTAACATAGGCATACTTTTTCTTAAGAGAACAGTCCAAACCTTGGTCTTGTTACAAGTAACAAGGTTGACTTTAGACCGTACGTAACTAACTTAGTAAGTTGTTATTTATTGATAGCATTTCATTTTATAAAAAAAAGTTAACCCAGGATAACGAAGGGCATCTGAGTCCGTAAACAATCCAGCTTGATTTGGTGATTTTATTTGTGGATTTCCAGCTTTGGTTTGGTTTATCGACTAATCTTGTAATGTTTTAAATATTTTCTTACTCAAGGACAAGATTAGATTCCATAGGCCTATCTTGTAAAGTTATGGAATTATTTAATTTGGAGAAATAGCCTCTGGATCGTTATTAAACTTTAGATTATAGGCCCTAGCAATATTTATATTTCAGTAATTGTGATGGAAACTAAATATTTCAGTAGGCCTAATCATGATGGAAAATGTCCGTGATAAAAGTTTTTAAATAGCATTTAAAAAAACCTAAACCTGGCTAAGGCGTAGGCGTGGACAATAAAAAAATTTGATGTACCGGTACCTTGACAGTTATTATTATGAAGTAGTGCAGTAAATATAATAATAATTTTTCAGTACAAGAACTCATGATCTTAGTGGATAGCGTGAGTCAGAGTATTCTTGATCAGAACTACTCCGACAAGTTGATCAGCAACATTACGGCAATGAGTGTGAGACTGAAACAGAATGGTTATCAGCTTGAATCAATTTACAAAGGTAGGTCAAGGTGAAGGACTGTTTCAGAACCAATCATCTGATAACAAAGTCCGGGTTTATCTAAAAAGGTTCCATAAAATAATACAGGGCTAAAGTATAAGTAATACGTTATGTAAAATGCTTTAGTAACTTTTAGTTTTATAGTTGGTATTTTCTAGCCCATTGTAACATTTCTGTAGGTGCCTAGCTGAAATAAAATACTGTATTTCTGTAGACATTGTTTCAATTAAAATTCATTGTTGTAGCCCCGGAACTGTAATATATAAAATATTTGGTTTTACATTAACTTTATCAGTTCCAAAAGTAACCTTCGTCAAGTTATCTTTGTGTTACATGTTTTGGCGAGCTGCCATTGTCAAACACTTTATTACAGGAATATGTAGATCCGCTTGAATAGCTTCGTTGTCATAACACATTACACAACAAACAACATTTACACACGCCCCTCGACATAAAAATAAATACTTTTAGTTTGATAGCCCTATCACGAATATACAACATTGCTGGTACACGAGCGGGAACAGACTGTCAGTGGAGGGTTCAAGTCAGTGCTGACTTTCCACAGAGTTTCCAGAGAAACTACAATATATTTTTGGATGAAATATTTGTTAGACATATCGGATACAGTTTTCATGCGATATAAATATCGCTTGTATGTTTTTCAAGGGATTTTTTCATACTATTGTGTGGTGGTTGTAAGTGTTGTTTGATTCTGTACTAACCATTTGCCATCTTACAGGTTGTCTTACTTTCACGTCTTGTGCACCTTTTGGCCATGGGTGCTGTACTTGTAAACCAATAACATTAAAAATGCCCCAAAAAATACATTTGTTCTTTTTTTCTAAATAAATAATATTGATTGAATGATTTTAGTTGATTTTTTTTTAGTTTTAGCTATGGGGAATTAAATATAACTTAATGTTGATAATTAGTGAGTAGGTTACACTCTTTGTCCATTAAAATCAGGAAAAGTATGAACTGATTTTCTATTTAAGGTTGTGAATAAAAAGCTGGGTGCTGAAATGTTTTATAGTTATGAGTTTCACGTACAGTATATTTCTCACATTTTGTACATTAAAGCAACTAAAAGTAATTAACAAGTAATTTAATGATTCAAAACGTTTATTAAACCCAACACAAATTACTTGTTGTACATGAGCGTAAGCTGTATTTGAAAAATAATATTCAGCCAAAAGCAATCCACTGTGCTACAAAAACAAGTGTACATAATTACACATCAAAACAGGCTTCAATTACAATCTGTAGTCAATGCCTATACTCTCAGTTTTTATTCAAATTTGATTGTTATTGTACTTTTTGTGTAATTTTGTTTCCAGTATCTATCTATACTTATTTAATACGCAAGCAGGTTTTTTGTGACAATTACTCCTCCGAAGCTACTGAACCAATTGACATGTTTTTGGTGTCATTGGAAAGAGCGTAACGTGAAGTTGTGCAGGAAACTTTCTTTTTAAGGAAATAAGTAGAGAGTGAGGCCCTGGAGCCCTTTAAAGTTTCGTATTTATCCATAAGATTAACATGGGACACAAAATTTGTTATGGAACTCCAGCTGTTGTCAGAAATTAAAAGTGAAATATTAATTGATGGTATCCATGGTAACAAAGACAAACCCACAAAATTTAAAAATGTAAACAATCAGAACTAACTGTCAAATTAATTTTGATTTCACAATTCCACACAGCTGGTTCAAATATATTAAATACTGCATGATTATTAGAACAGGAACGGTAGGGATCATAAACATTAATAAAATATGTCACTCGCCCGAATCATTTTTGCCTATGCCCGAATGTAAACATTTAACATTGATTAAATGGAACTGTCAAAATATATGTTAATCTCATTAGTACGGAATTGTTTCAGTTACATCATTTGTTGATCGAGTTTGTTACAATATTTTTGAACTGCTGTAATAATATTTTACAGGAAATAATTGTTAGATAAATTCATGGATATAAGTAATAACTCAGATTCTTCAATCTTTGCTGTTATTAAAATTGTGTATCCGCAGCAAACCTTCAGACTAAGCAAATTTCCATTTACCTGGCTTAATTTATACAAAGATATTCCTGAAAATGGTCATTTTTTCCTATTTAAATAACATTAAGTTAATTTTAATATGAGTACTTAGGTTTGCTGCTACAGGGAAGGTAGGTGTGTTTTTGTTGAAATGTTGATAGCTAAATATGATTGTTATTGGTTTGCAAATCCTGTAATACTTTACAATCGCTCGAATTCGAGCAACATGTACACTAGTATATTAATAATACCCAAGCAGTTTTCTTTTCACAGTCATGACTAAATAACTGCTTGGTGGATTTTAACGTTTGAGGTGTCAAATTAAAGGTATTTTCACGTAGATGTGCAAATACGTCTCACAATATTAAGAAAGGGCATCACTTAAGTACAGTTAACCCTTGGACTGCCATGACCTGATTTATGCTAAAATGCTCGGTGCCCTGGCAATTTTGGCCTAACCGATTTTAACCTAACCTAACCTAACCAAACTTAACCTTACCTAACCTAACCTAAACTAACTTAACCTAACCTGACCTAACCTAACCCAACCAATCCTAACCCAAAATAAAGCCCGCATTCTACAATGGCTTAGAGTCACCCGCAATGCTAGCGCCATGCGGCAGTACATAAGTAGCCAGCGGCCGCTTTTCTGGTGATATTTTACTTAATAGTGGTCCCATCGTAATAAAACTTACATATTATTGTTCAGGAGGAATTTCCGCACAATTTGAGTACCCACAACATGGGTTTTGGGCAAAAAAGATTTTTCCCGTTTTTCCCATTTTCCGGGAAAACGGGACGTTTCTGCAAAAAATGAATATCATTTTTGGAATCAGCACTAAAAAACGAACTGATAAAAAAAAAAAAAATTTAGAGCGTTGACTGGAGGTCGACATAATTACCATATGAACTGACGCGACGTGACAAAGGAAAAATCTAACTTACACTGTAACGGATATACCTCCCTTTGAAGTTAGAACATGTCTTCCCAACAAACAGATTTTTAAATAAATCATAGATTAATCTGCCTTATTATAAAAACAATAACAATCAAATCAAAACAAATACATACTAATTTGACAGTTACAATCAGGTGATCTTTTGTTTGCAATCCGAGTGACGTCAGAATATGATGGGAATAGCACACCTATGTTTTTTCCTTCCACCTTGGGCTATGTTAAACAAATCACATTTGCTTTAAAAAGCAGATTTTTAAGTAGGGTAGGTACTTATGTGCTTCATTGCATTATCTGCATTGGTTCAAAACATAAAATCAATAAATGAAACAATCAAACTTTATTCTTGTATGTACTTTGAGTACAGTATTGCATCAAGCATGAAAAAAGCCGTTCCCAGACTTTTTGAAGTGTCATTGCCTATTATACAATTATTATAAAAAAGCTAAAGAACAAGAAAGCCGATGTGAAAATAATTTTGTATGTATGGTCTAATACTTGTTATACTTTAAAGATAAAGATTCTTTAGCTAAACAAGCTGTTAAATTATACACAACTAGCTGTAACTCGCGGGCTTTGCCCCATTTAACTTCTCAATTTTCAAGATTATCTCGTTCGCATGGCTCAATCACGTCCTGGTTGAAGTTTGTTCGCTACGCTCACTCACCTTTAGGTTGAAGTTCGTTCGCTACGCCCACTCACCTTTTGGTTGCAAATTAGCTGTTGTCATAAATGTAAAAGAAATATTGTGGTGTGAGTAGCCTCCGGATTGCGAATAATAACTATGATAGTGGTTTAATTACCTTATTCTTGCAATCCAATTGTTGTCTTCACAACTAGTTTCAACCTGCTAGGAGGTCATCATCAGGTGAGTACAAGGATGATATTACTTCATATGAAGGTCGTCAGTAACAGTTTTTTCACATTCACACAAACACACGACGAATAAACACATAGTGCGCACACATATACGGCCGATAAAAACATTTAACTCGACAAGCGGACCCGTGTTGATAATGCGGAAGTTGCGTCTAGACTCTAGACGCAACTTCCGCATTATCAACACGGGTCCGCTTGTCGAGTTAAATGTTTTTATCGGCCGTATATGTGTGCGCACTATGTGTTTATTCGTCATGTGTTTGTGTGAATGTGAAAAAACTGTTACTGACGACCTTCATATGAAGTAATATCATCCTTGTACTCACCTGATGATGACCTCCTAGCAGGTTGAAACTAGTTGTGAAGACAACAATTGGATTGCAAGAATAAGGTAATTAAACCACTATCATAAAAGAAATAATAGTGCTGCACCCTGTTGGTAATCCTTGTAACTTTAATGCTATTGAACATCATAGAACAGAACCAACTTGTTTAATCGAAACAGCTGTTAAGATTCAATAATTCCATTTCTCATAAGGTTAACATGGGAAACTCCAGAGCCACTGGGGCAGAGCCCAAAAGGATTTTTGAAATAAGAATATGCCTATATGTTAATTGGGAATGTGAGCTATCATCATGCCAAATTTCAGCCCAATCCGACCAGTATTTTTCGCGTTCACTTGTCACAAACATACATCCATACATCCAAACTTTCTCATTTATAATATTATATATATATATATATATATATATATATATAGTAGGACAAACTTTCTCATTTATAATATTAGTAGGATATTTTTAACACCCATATATTTCAAATTTTTATCAAGAAAGTTGGTTAGCACTAGACATCTAAAAGTGCAGTCTAGGAAAAAAATCAAAGGTCATAGAAAATCCCTTTTTACTTACCATTCAATCCTGTAAAATATCTTAATAAAAATGATTGGCTATTTAAATTGTTAAAGTCCTTATAATTAAGTATATAGATGGATAGTTGGATGTGTTATATTTTAGATTGCCAGTGAAATAAAAACATTTTTATGATTTCACAAACAAAAAATAGTTCCACAGTTCAAAACAAATAACATTTGACACAAAAAAGTACTGTAAACAAAGAATTATTACTTCGTAATTGTTTATAATGTTATAAAATATATAAAGAATAGTTTTACTTACTCTCATTACAAAATCTAAGAATTTCATTCTTTAAGTCTGTTCTTATTTACTTAGAGCATTGTCATTGTTGAGTAGTTCTAACATGTGTTAAATCTGTTTTAGTTTGTTGTTTTTGCTTTGCTATGTTGTTAGGACTAATTTAAGTAATTTTTATGATATTGAAAATTTATTGTGAAACATTTTGAGGTAAAGCAGAATTGAAATAGATTTATTTTTTGTGTATTTGTACAGTTTTGTTTAGACATATTATAGCATAGCCCTATGCAGTGTAGGTTATATCTGATTTAACAATGTAAGCTGTTTGGACAAGTCTAAGCTTTAATTAATTATTGTTTGAAAGGGTGTACAATAGGTGATTTTACTGCATTTTGAGTACTCTATATTGTTTAGCTTTCATTTACACCTAATAATTGTACAGATGAAATAATTTAAAGCCATAATAACTTAGTTGTTTAAATTTATATTGGTCTTTTCTATATCATTCATTAATTTTTACAGATCAACTTGATCGAGCATTCAATATATTTCGGGATGGTTGCCAAAACGAGTTTCTTCTTTGTTCGACGAGACTTCATTTGTTACAGTTAGTTGAACTAAGAGCTAATCACTGGACGGATACTGATAAAACTCAATTTTACTACTCTGCAAAAATGGCTGCTGAGGTAAGTGACAATTATTTGTTATTTCTGTCTAGGCTATATATAAAAAATATATACCTATGCAAATACAAATCCATAAACTAGTACCGTAGGTCTACTACCTTTTACTACGGTCAGAACTACATAGGCCTATATTGCATCCTTATGTTAAAGTTGCTGCCAGTCTTTTGACAAAATGAACGTAGTTGAATCGAGCTACCGTCAGCTTAATGTAGATTACCTACTGATTTCTGTTGAACACACCAGCTATTTAACCGGAAGTCAAACTGAAATGTATACAGCTATCGTAAACTTTAGCAGCTTTTATGCCACATCAACTATCTCAGTAGGCCCAACTAGGCCTATACTGTAATAAAATGAGTGTCCTTAAAGTAAATTGTATACTAGGACTAGGCCTATCTAATTGAACTGGGCTAGATAGGCCCATAAATATTTATAAAATATTAGAATCAAGAATCAAAAATCAAAATCTTATTCCAGTAGACACATACGCATATGGACACGTCAAAAAGTGGATTACATGCTGCAAAAACACAAGTCAGAGATAAATACAGTAGGCTACTTACATAAAAAATTCAGGCATTAACAAAAAAATCAAATAAGTTACAAAGGTCATTAAGATGGCACATTGAGGACTACGACGGTATAACATACAGAAAGTAAACACAAGATATAATATAGGCTAGTGAAAAACATTATTTACAAAGTAAATACCTATGAATATCAATCTTCGAAACACCAATTCATTTTGCCACCATATTTAGGCTAAACAAGTTTTGAACCATATTAAAATTTGCAATCCTCCACTCAGGGGTCCTCTCTTATTTTCTTAAAATTAAAACTAATAATAAACTAATAATATAAACCTACAAAATCTAAAAGTTCTCTAAAAAAAGTTAAAGTAGGCCTAGGTTCTCGGATTATAGATTCACTATAAACTGTAGGTCCCTTAGTCGCCATTAGCTGTACGGGCTATTAATTAACAGCTCTGTCTAAGGAATATGTCGGCCTTAGCCACTAACAAGACTACAAGATCGCGCCACTCATCATACACTCATCTCCATTCATACTTGGCTTAAAATACCTACTTTGTATGGTCACCATTTCAAGAAAAGTTTAAGTATAAGTATTAGTGATATCTTAGCACATATATCATTATTTAAAAGAATAATTTGATACCAAGCAAGTTATTTCATTGTTTATTGTTGTAGATGGAACCTTCTATTACGACTCCTGATACGAATACGACAACGATTCCGATGACAACCTCCTCTCCTCCCACCCCTCCAGTCCTCGGACCGGGAGAGGTACTGAAGACATCTGGAAAATTCTCGAAACCTACAAAAATACCTGGGAAAAACTACTGCAAAGACGAAGTAGTGATCAGGAACAGTGACTCAGGAAAAGGTAGCCTAAAACATGAGCAATTATTATTTTTTTTTGTATTTAAAAATCAATATAATGTAAAATGCTAGAACTTAGGAAAATTCTTAGCAATTTTTTAAATTTACTGATTTCTTTTCAGTCCATCAATGGTTTAGGCTATTTCCCTGTTTAACACGTTAATGGAAAAAATTGTATTTTGACTTAAATAGCAAATTTTTCAGAAAATTAGGCCACACCCAATAAACTTAAGTCATATTTTGAGCATCGGAAGACTGGTGTGAACAACTAGCCTATACCACCTGTAGGCTTAGTGCGTATTTCTCTTACTAGATTAGCATAGGCCTAATAGGTTTATGTTACTCCAGACTGTGGTTTTACACAATGATTTATTTGTTTGGCTCTTGTGATATTTATGCTAAAATCGTTAATTGAGCATTAGAGTCAAACAAGACCTTTCACAAGAGTTGACAAAGAATAAAATAATTTTAAAACTTTCCAAATTTCTTAAATTGTTACTCCTTAGCTTTAACAGTGAAGCCTAAGAAAGCAAGATGGGCGACAATTAAAATCATTCCTATATTTCAAATCTCTGACAACTGAATGTGACATGATTTTATTTCAATGGAAATAACCGTAAGTATTGATATGGCAGTATGCAATTTTCATGTATTCGTTTATTTATGTAGTGATGGGCATCAAAGGAAGGAGAGTTCATATGATCGAGGAACTGTCTGAGACCATCATTTCATTTCAGCGAGGTAAACCTTGCTTGGACCTAACCTCACTTGTGTTTGTGGCACAGCTTCCGTTAACGATTAACGATTAATCATCAGCTGTCAGCTCTAATCGTTAATGCATCGCATGAACACTACAATCATCACTCATGTTACATTTAGATAGTTGACAAATCGTTAATTGTCAGATGCTATGTGATAAACTATCCGAGCTGTCTTTGCTTGCTTACTCAACATAGCCTACAGAGTATTTGATAAAGAATGTAGAGTATTAAAACAGTCATTGCTTGGGGACTGTTCAATAAAACTTAACGATTTAAGCAACTAATTGGAACTGAAATAACTTAAGTTTTGTTTTTCGTGTAGCAAGTAGCAAGGAAGGAAACGTTGATCCTAGGCATGCGCGGTAGCAGGCCGCAATTGTGACTCTTCACGGCTGACACCAGTTGTTAGTGATGTTTACAGCGCAATAACAGGCACAGTGTGTTGTGTAGTTTGCAATACTGTACCTACAGTACCGGTTTCAAGTTACGTAGTATTGATGGCAAAACTCTCCCGATGAAAAAGCAATTCTTCACTGGTTTAACCAGTTTCGTAACAAATTAAATGTTTTGATAAGACATTCACCTAGCCAGCTAGAAACAAGTGATGACAAAGTCAAAGAAATCCGACCATCCTGCATCAGAAGCCTGAAAAAATTGATTGCCCGAGGATGTCTTCAGTTAAACATCTGAATCAACACTCCATGCTGTTATTCGTAAGATATTGAGACTTCGTGCCTTCAAAATTCAGTTAACATGTTCGCTGCAGCCCATCTATGGCAGGCGTAGCCCCCGGTGTGGCGCAGTGTTGAACAGACCCGATTCCCGGGCGATTGGCTTTCAAATTTTGGTCTGACAAATAACAAATAGCGTGCCGTGATGTACTGCGTTACGAGAGTCGACATAGTTCGCTAAAACACTCACAGATAGCAGCACTGGAACGTAGCCAGTCCCATTGTATTGCCAATTGGTGGGAAAAATACGGGAAAACAACTTGATTTCTAAGCTTGCCAGACGGAGATTTTTTACAAAGAAATTCACTACCAACCTACACCACAACAAATAACATGTGACACACTACACGCAAACGTGGTATAGGTCCGCCTTCGACTGATGTTAGGCTCGCACTGAACAACAGAATAACAAATTGATGCACTGCAGTGTGGGTCAGTACTGACCCACGGCAATCGCAGCCCTCCACGTGGCCGGGTGCGAACGTTTAAGAAGCATTGAGCTTACTAACTTTGCCGGTTTTATCCTCAATGAGATCAAAACATATTAGTGTAGGCCTAAGGGGAAAACTATTATTATCCCTTCAATTTTGAATTAAAATTCTTTAATTTTCTTCAATAGTCCCCAAGCAACAGTGGTTCAAAATCTTCTTATTCTTTTCACAGATCCTGTATAAGACATCTTGCAGTCATAAATTAGTTGTACATACAGTACTGTTAGTGATGAGTCTAACTAAAAATCCATGGTGATTGATTGTATTGTTTAGGATTAAATTCTATTTTGATTTTCAGTCAGAGTGTCATTTGGTTCTAAAAATCTGTTATTGTTGATTAAAATTAAACTCCTTATAACTTAGAACCTTGTGTTTCCCTATCAACTTTTGGAAGTTTGAATTGTGTGTACTAACACTTTTATCAAATGTGTGATTTTTGTTTTATGTATTCTATTCTTTATTATTTACCCTATCACCCCATACCCTATACGTAAACCCCTCCGACCGCAAGTGCCGCTACGTAGTATATGCGTGTTTAGTTTGAATATGCCACACTGAACTTATCGATCAAAGAAGAAAAGGTAACTTGTTTGGTGTTGGCACATTCAAGGAAATCCGTTCTTTCACAAGGAATATTTTTGTTTGCAAAATATAACAAAATCTCTCTATTAATAGAAGTAAGCTGACGTTTCACCACGTCAGCCACTGGGCTTTTAGCCCTCCCCGCTTGGTGTATCAGAGCCTGCCAAACCTGAGTTGCTCAATAAACTGCAGTATCCTGTCGGCTCCTTATCATGGTACCAAGAGTGCTTTCTCTTACCTCATTCAGAGCTGTGCAGTCATAGAATAGTAGATAATATACAGTCTCCTTGGACTGCCTATATTTCCTACATGCAGTGTCTCCATTGTAAATCCCCAAGTGATGCAGGTGCAATCTCAGGAAGCCATGGTCCGTAATTATTCCTGTGATTGTCTCAATTAACTCCTGTCTAATCAGAACATTGGAAGTAGAACATAGGCGACTGTCTGGGAAGGGGAGAAGAGAGTGAGCTTGCTTATCCTGTGATGCTGAAGCCTAACCCATCTTCTCCTATGATTTGTGCTTGTGGACAGTTGTATATTTCCTCTACTGCAAATTTGTTCATCAGTTTGCTTCTTATTCCTTGACTTAGAAGCGATTACTTTGGTTCCGTATGTGTAATCTAAATTTTGTTGCTAACAAACAGTACAATGTCTAATAACTATTTTACCCTGTATGAGAAGAATAAAACCAAACAGCATAACCAAGTTTCTAAATAGCCACTACAGTAGACTCCCTCTTATCCGGACATCGGTTTAACCGTACTACACTCGACGGAAATGACATCTCTTTAACCGGACAATTTGTATCAGCACATTGGTTTAACCGGACTAGATCGGCAGGAAGTTTTACGGTACTGTAACGACTGTTAGTGTGAGAAAGATTTGAGACCAGTGATCACATGTCTAAATACAACGCTCTCCTAAATTTAAGTAGAATATCACCGTAAACGGTCCATTTTAATGAGTTTTTGGGGACGTCGGCTTAACTGGAAAAACCGTTATCTGGACTGGCCTCGGTTCCGAGGAGTCCTTATAAGAGGGAGTCTACTGTACCTGAGTTGAAGTGTGACTGGTTTCCCTAGTAGTTAGTAAGTAGTCTAGTGAGAAACAGCTACAGTAGATTCTCTCATATCTGGACCCTCGAGACCAAGTCTAGTCCGGATAATGGGTTTTCCGGTTAAACCGAAGTCCCCTTAAACTTGAATCACTAGAAAACTAACCCTAATATTTTCGACTACTTAAATTTGGCAGAGCATTTTATTTAGACACGTGATCACTCTGGTCTCAAATCTTTCCCACAGTAAAAGTCGTTTCAGTACTGCACACCTGCTGATCCAGTCCGCCTAAACTGATGATGTGCTGATAGTAATTCCGGTTAAAGAGATGTCACTTCTGCCGAGTGTAATACGGTTAAACTGATGTATGGTTAGTAGGTATCCGGATAGAGTGAGACTCCTATACTGTGACCTAGTATTGATTTTTAAAACTGTATTTAGAATTTTCTGATGTGTGTCTGAATAGTGAATATAGTACCAATGTATGTTAAAAAATAGTTTAAAATAATTATTTTCCTAGTTTTATATGTTTTACTAACATGACTGTAGGTTTATAAACACCCTTTGGATACTGAAGTAGACCTCCCATTTATAATGGACCCAAGCCAATTTTTATTTCAAATATATTGAATTGAATAAGCAACTCACCGGGTACGCTTCTCATAAAATCCTATTTTCTCCATTAGGTTTTTATACAATGTTTGTTTTTGTTACATTAAAAAAAATGCAATAGCTTCAGTAACTTTTACTATTACCTGAGTATGATTGAAAAGTTGGCCTATCTAACGTAAATGAGTAATGACATCAGCAGACTCTTTGAGCGTAAATTCAAATATTTTCATGATAAAGTAGGTTTTGGATCGCTAAATTGTTTATGTTACCTTGCTTCATGAAGTGATCCTTTGCAGTAGTAGCCTACTCTACTATAGATTCAGACTTGTGGTGTCGATCATCAGGTCATCTGTCCAATTTGGCCAGATCTGTCATTACCATTGTAGAACACATGCAGCACAAACACACAACAAAAATAGAAAAATATGATTAACCATTATAGTTCTGAAAAAAAAAAAAAAATGCCCGGCGTCTCCCAAATCGGATAGATGACCTAATGTTTTAGTCAAACCTGATGATGGACTCCTGAAGTCCTAAACTATATTAGTGCACTACTGTAAAGGTACACTTGACGAAGACAAGGGAACTTAAACCATTTAGCTTGAATTAAATTATATTTTTATTCTAACACTGGCTAATCCAACTGGGTTGTCTACTTCTATCTTGTGTAAGTGTTCATCTACTTAGAGGTTCTTGTGTCAGCAGAATACATGAGACCGTTGATAATCAAAAGTCCGGTGGTGTGGAACACTGCCCGCTACCTTTACCCTCCTACCTTCTTTCCTCGTCACGCTCCCATCTACATGGGTCCTCCTCCTAGACCTTGGGCTGGTAACTTATCCTTAGCTTACTCTAAAACTAAAGCCAATAACCAGATTAGTCAAAATCCAATTTAACTAGTAGTTGTAGTACAGTACACTTTCGTTTAACCGAGGTTGTTGGGACCAAAACACAGAGATCGCTTAGATTTTGAGGTTAGGGGTTACGGTTTACGGTACCACATTAGGAAATCAAATTCTTGTAGAATGTTTGTTTTAAGAGTAGGACATAGCAAATTAATAATGATCAATGGTTTAGAAAGAAAACTATATCCCAAACATGCTCGACACTTCTTAGATTGTTGAGAAAAACGTTGAAATACAGCATTAATAAACAGGCTAAGCCAAATACACTACAGTGTTAAATAAACACATTATGGTTGATCTTTCTAGTTTATAAAGTATGAAATTACTTTTTGTTTGAGTTTAACATGAGCTATAATCATGTTAATGAGGAGTGAATGAGATTGGATTTTTAGTTTGAGACGAGACAAGGCGGGATTTTTCATTTCTCATAAAATGTTGAGACGAGATTGAGACATGATATCCCTTCTCATACATAACGGGAAATGCACGTTCGACATTTTAACCTGATTTTGTAACATTTTTAAATTCCTACTGATTTAGGACAGACTAAATAGGTTAAATACAAAAATAATAATAACAGACAAGAATTAAAAAATATAGATAAAAAACATCAGTATAAAAAAAATATTAATTAGGCCTAGAGTACCTTATTAAAAATAACTCTTCCGGGTAGGAAACATGGAGATATCAGTTAGGATATAGTTCAACTTTGAAAAATGCCAAATTTATTAGCCTAAAACATCAGTCTTACTAGTTTGGTATCAAGCAACAATTTTTCAGTTTTGTGTTGTTTTTATAATGATTTTGGAGTGACTTGTTTTGCCTATGTTTAGAGTAGTAAAACATGTCTTACACTAACAAAACTTTGAATCATTTTCTATGTCAAAACAAAAAATTAGAAAACAATAAAGCAATATTTACTTGTAAAGAATTAATAATTAAATAAAAACGCCTTCGCAAAGGAAACATCAACATGCTCATGTGTTGCAGGTTTTGCATTAACTTTGTGCTGCCTTTTTTATATTTTTTTTTATAATCTTGTCTCGAAAAAATCTCGACCAAAATAGAATCTCGTCTCATAAAACAAGATTTAAAATTTCCCGAAATTTCGAGACCTGTCCATCCCTAAGTCAATATCAAAATATTGTAATGACAAAGACTGACAAAAGGCGATGCAAGAGGTTAATTCTTAAACAAAAAAGCCAAAGGTATTGTTTACGTGATGCAGACGACTCGTCCAGCTTCCTAATGTTGGCGACCAACCTCTAGTACTATGTGATTTCAATTTTCAACGTATCATTCGTAAATTAAAATAATACTAATGATAAAATTAATTTCTAACAAATCGCGAATTACTGGCTATTTTTAACTTACTTTCAAAAGAAACATCTATATATAAAGCCAAAAGTACCCATGAACTTTTGAGAAAACTACAAGTCACACCCCCATAAACCATATACTTAAAATGTTCGTCATGACGAGAAACCTTGCGCAAAATTATCCATTATTTCATAAATTGCCCTATAAGGTCGTTACTCGTAATTGCTTTCCAAAGGGAACTTTCCATTTACCTAATGTTAAAAATACCTCAGCTGTTATTATTTGTTTGTATTCTGTTTTGTTTAATTCATCTTAACTTAACCAATCAATAGTTTTATTAATACTAATGTAGTAAAACGGGGTGGAGTCCGTGGGTAACAGCTAGTTCATAATAAAGAAAAAAAATTAAAAGGCTAAACTGAACTTCTATAAGCTGAAGTCTTGGATAATCGAGAGTGTACTGTAAATGTTTTCATCAAAATAAGTTTAAATAACTGTATATTCTCGCGAACCCCTTCCAGATTGGTGTGGGACTTGGATACAAGTCAACACTGTGATATTTTAGCTATATTTTACTATGTACTCTGGATGAAAAAAAAGACATGTGATTTTAGTGGAGGAAAAAAACACTGGCCTGCTAATAAAGAATTCTTGAGTCTTGTCTATTTTTTTCTCACAAAACGAGATGCAATATTTTAACAGGTATTTCCATTTCCTTTAATTAAAGAATTCTTAATACTCATTCGATCCGGAGAATAGTCAGTAAGCCGGTGTTCATTGGGCTTTAAATAAATGATCTTTATTAATGAAACATCTGATCGTAGTCTTTAAGATCATCTCACTCTATTCTACGCTAAACTTGCATTGGTATTCAACTTTAAATATGCACCTAAGTATGCGTTGCAGAATGAATAAGCATAGAGATAGTCTTCTTAGCACGATTTCTCTTTAGTGAAACTTGTATCATCCATTTGTAAATAAAGTCTCAATATTTTTGCTTTGCAGTCAAAATAATCTTTTTTTTTTTGTTTTGGTAAATTGACCTGTCAAATTTATTACATAAACGATGTTTGTTAAATATTTATAATATAGTTAGGTATCAAAAACAATTGGAGGAATCCTTGCACATAATATGTGTCACATGATTAAACCACATTCAAATCCTCATTTTAAACTGTTGATATGCAATGACAACAACACTTAATCCATACTTAGCTGTAACCGATTTTACAGTTTGTTTTTTTCATTTTTAAGCCCCTCCCCGCTTTAACCATTGATTTAGTTCCGTGAGAGTATCCTAATACTTAATAAATAAGACATACTTGTCTAAAGCTTATGTGAATTTCTGTAATCTATGGCAAATGGCCATATTATTGAGATGTCAACCGCTTTTAAAAGTCTTTTAATCCTTTTGATATTTTTCCAGTGAATCCTGGGGCTAAAGAACGCCTCGTTCAAATAACAGGACCAAGCGAAGACAAAATCAAGTGAGTCATGTTTTGTTGCTATCACATATTATAGTTTTTATAGCCCTACTTGTTTATGATAAACCAGGGACAAGATCCCTATTCTGGTGAATGATTGCTTTCTGGTTATTATGTGATAGTCCAAATTGTATTTATTGAAGTATAAAAATAAGTTGATACAAATCGTAGTTTCCAACAGCTTGTGCATTGTATGCAGCTAAGTGTAGTCAACAACCCTATCTATATAAATAAAATTATCTATTCTAAAGTCCAAATATACAACATCCCACTTTACTCTTAAAAATATAACAAGCTACATTCGTACCAAAGGTATGACTATGATAAGTATGAGTATGAACAAATCAATAATATAGGCTACGTTTTTTACAATTACCGTCATAACATATATCGATTCGATATAAACAAAACTGTAACAGTATTCAAGGTACCTATAAAAGTATGAATAATGCTACAAAATCTTGATGATATGTTCTTATTTCATTATGGGAACATTTTTTTCTTTTTAGTTAGTTAAATAATAAAATATTTTACTTTATCACAATATGCCTTTATCAATCACATAAAGATTTAACAAGTATTTATTGACCTCCCTTGGTTTTCAAAAGTTTTGTTTAGCGATGTGCAGTAGTAGCGTTGATATCTAGTCCTCAACTCCTACATGTGTGGTAGGAGAATGTGTGTGTTAGGATTTCACTTCAAAAAGGCCATGGCATTCTTATCCATCGTTCGTTACAATTCGGTTTGTTTTCTACAGTAACGCAAGACAACTGATGGAAGATACGATCCGTCGCAATGCTTCGCCAATCCGGGAGGGAGGCGATAGAGAGAGAATCGGCGGTTCCAATTCTAGTCTGAACAGCAGTGCTTCCGATGAAAGCGGCCGTAACCCACTCCAAGGTATATAAACCTATCATGTATAACTAGATCAGGTTCTGGGTTATATGATATTTTGATTTGTTAATGTTTATGACTAAAGGCTTTATTGAGAGAAAAGAAGGATAGACTATTGGGTTAGAAAAGTACAAACTTAGTACAATCACCTGAACCTCAAACAACTGAAATAAAGGGAACCAGGTCGTTAAGACTACATATTCTTTTGGTCAGTTGATGGTTGGAATTTTAAGGCTATTTCATAGGAGGTTTGGGTGAGTACTGGTTACTATGTTTTAAGGTCAGGCCTTTTTTCAGGGAGTTTGTAAGGGAATGTAATGTCCAAAGTGTCACAAAGTTGAGTGTTTGTTTGATTTGTAGAATCTGATGAAGGGAATTTTAATTAGTTTCAATAATTTTTAATACTGGGTTGGGTAGTAAAGTAAATTCTTTTTGGAGATGTTTAAGTTTTTTGAGCGTCCTCCAGGACAATCCTATTAGCCATACTTGGAGCTAATTTTGTAACACTAGGATTAATTGGGAGTACTTAATACTTTATACTTTAATACTTTTTGATGAAATGGTGACCATACAAAGTAGGTATTTTAAGCCAAGTATGAATGGAGATGAGTGTAGGATGAGTGGTGCGATCTTGTAGTCTTGTTAGTGACTAAGGCCGACATATTCCTTAGACACAGCTGTTAATTAATAGCCCATACAGCTAATGGCAACTAAGGGACCTACAATTTTATAGTGGAATCCGAACCACATTTTTGCCTTGGTATATACGAATTGGTCTAATTATCAGGATAGTACTGCTAATAGTCATAGTACTCACTAGAAAGGAACGTTAATTTACACCAGAGAGTATCGCATGCCTATAAATATCCACAATTGAGTAATATAGTCAGTGACAAGCATTTTGGTGTTACTGTATAGTGTCTAATATATAAAAAATATAGATCTGAGTTTTTTTTTTAATGATTTTCTCCCATATGTTTATGAAAGTTATCCTGAGGTTATTTGAAAAGGGTTTCTTGCACATCAAATTACTAACAAATTTTTAATACGCTAACTTTGTTTAGCATTTACACTAGCAGGATCTCGGCGTTCACTTCCTCACAGCTTTTCAACCAATGATGCCAACCTTGGGGAGTACAAATATACTGTGACACTTGGTCATGATGTGGTCAAGATCACGGGTACCAACCACGACGTAGTAAAGGTGAGGGTGAATCAATAGCCTAAGTAATAGTTGTATATATAAATAGGTATGTTACGTATCATTCTGACTTTCTCTCTACACCCCCCTTTTTTATTGATTCTAACCTTGTTTATCCATGAAACAAATTTAACAAAATGACTAGCAACATTCTCCTTCCAGTTACCTGTTAGATTTTCCATTCAGTCGGGGAAAAATAAATCCTTTCCCACTTATTTAGTTCCTCAATACAAAGTTTCCAGTTTTATTGTAAACAAATACAAAATATCTACTTAAGTTACTGCAGTAGGCCTACATTGTTTAAAATCAAATAAGAACAAATTACATATATGTGTGGAGTGAAAATTATATTTTACCAGACAAGTTTCAAAATATATTATTTATTATGTTTGAGACTGTTAGCACTGAATGTATAGTGCGTTCAAACACCCGTGGCACCTGAGGGAATAGGAGGCCCCATGGGGTGTCCTAATGCGTCAGGTGCCACCTCTGTCTGAACGGAGTATAGGCCTATTAATTTTATACTTGATATTGAGTAGTTGCTACTAAACAAGATTTCATTAATTGTTTTTTTTTTTAAGTGAAACATAGGCTAGATATATTATATAGATATAGGGATCGACGAGATTGGATTTTTAGTTCGAGACGAGACGAGACGAGATTTTTTATTTCTCATAAAATTTCGAGACGAGATTTCTCTTCTCATACACAACGGGAAATGCACGTTCAAAATTTTTACCTGATTTTGTAACATTGTTAGATGACTGTTTAAATACAAAAATAATTATAATAGGCAAGAATATTTACAATCTTTTATTAAATAACATCAGCATAACATTTTTTTATTAATCACGCCTAACTTATTAAAAATGCCTACGATTAGGAAACATGGTGATATCAGTTAGGATAGAGTTCAACTTATCCTAAAATAAAATAAATCATAAAATAAAAGCAATATTAATTTTTATAAAATAGTTACTTGTTGTGACTTTTTTATAGTAATAAAACATTCCTCACACTGCTTACACTTAACAAAACTTCTCAAATGTTATTAAAGTAATATTATTAAAATAATTAAAGTATTATTTACATTAAAAGAATTAATTAAATAAGAACGCCTTCGCAAAGGAAACGCAACTACAACACGCTCCTGTATTGCGGGTATTGCATTGACTTTCTGCAGGCGTTTTTAATTTTTTTTTTTTTTATTCTCGTCTCGATAAAAATCTTGGCCAAAAAGAAATCTCGTCTCGTGTAACGAGATTGAAAATTTCCCGAAATTTCGAGACTTGACCATCCCTAATAGATATATTCGTAAGTAGGTCAGAAACATAGTTAAATTTTGTAAAGGTATTGTTATGATCTATGGTACAGCTAGATCATCCAGCCACAAAGAAATTGGACCCACACATAATGAGAGAATCTTCTGTACTTTTTTAACTGTTCTTAACATTTGTTTTTTTTATTTCAGAATGCCAGATTGGTGCTAGAAGAATACTACAACATTTGGCTGCAAAAGAATTACAGTGGCGACTGCTTCGGGTGAGTTTTCACTGTTTTCAGATTATTTAAAAGTTTTCCAAGCAGTACATCTTTTACCTATAGTATACAATGATATTCATGGTTTAAATATTTTTAGCACTGTGTTCAAGACTTTTTCCCCTTGATCTGCATTTATATTTATTTATCATATGTTATTATTTAATCCTGTTTACTTTTTCATTACATTGTTTTTCTTGCTCAAGTGAACATGGTTTCTTTTTTATAATCTTAATTTTACCATTTTCCAATCCAACATTTGGTCCTAATTCGCAGCCGGATGAAAACCTGGTAACTATATTCATTCCTTGTTAACATTACCCCATTTATTATCTAAATGTTCTACTCAGTTCCCTTACAGTCCACTACTAATTTGTTGTTTTTGAAGTTTACCTAATTATAGTCTTTTTGAACTCAGATCATGACACGAAATGAACTCTTTACCAACTTATAAACTATTATTTTTGGTGTCAATCAAAACAAGCTCAAGTTTATTAATTTTTTGTGCACTTAATAGACTATACATTCCTCTTTTTAGTTAAAGACTTTATTGAAAGAAACTTATTATCTGTATCTTTGATGTACAATTCATTGTTTTGACTTCAAACTGAGATTTTGTGTTTACTCAAGACCTTTTTATATTGTGTGTGCTGCTGGTAAATTTTGTGTTCTACTACTACAATGGCTCCTAAAACTTCTGATTTTAAGTCATCCACATACACTCGCTCAACATCTCTAATTAAAACTCGTTTTAATAAGCTTAAAGATACTGTTGATGAATACTCTACCTCAACGGATCAACTCACCCCTATTCAAATTAAACAACTTAATGCTCATTTAAATGAAATCCGTAAAAGAAAAGAAGAATTCGACAACAATTTGCAACGGGTTTTAATCTTAGAAGAGGATCCTATCTCTGACGAGACATTGTCTCAAGACCTGGATGAAATTGAAAGTTTATTTTCTCATATCGTGGCTACTATTGAGTTTTTAATGTCCCATCCTGAACCTTCAAATTCTGCTATCTTAAGTGACTCTTCTTCCGTTTCTCTTCACCAAACACCTATTTCGCAAGCAGTACGCCTTCCAAAATTGGATTTACAAAAATTCTCCGGTGACCCGCTAACTTGGACAAGTTTTATAAATTTGTTTGATACTGCAATACACCACAACACGTCACTTTCCAGTGTCATGAAATTTCAGTACCTTTTAAGTGTACTTAGCGGAGAACCCCTCGACTTAGTCAAAAGTTTGAATCTCACTGAAGCTAACTATTTGGTTGCATATAATCTCCTCCGTGATAGATATCACAATGAACGCCGCTTACAATCTTTGCACCTCAATCACATTTTGGACCTTCCTACCATTAATGCATTTACTATAACAGGACTTCGCCATTTTGTAAATTGTTTCACTGAACACACGCAAGCTTTAAAAGCTTTGGAATGTGACATTACAAATAATAATCCCCTTCTCTCCGCACTGCTCCTGCGTAAGATGGATGCTGATTTACGCAAAAAGCTTGAAATGTTCCGGTCTTCAACCGAAAATCAGCCGAATTCTCACTCACTTCCCGAGGTCAAAGATATAATAAAATATCTGAACACTGAATGCTCTCAGGCTGAGGATGCAAACCTACACAGCGCTCCCACACTGAATAAAATTAATAACACTTTTGCTCATGCACCCAAAGACACTACACAAAAGCAAGTACAATTTCGCTCAAGAAACGTTGCTATGGCCACGACCCACACTTCCCCCCATCAGTCATCTCACTCAACAGGCATTAAAAAACCGACTCATTGGCAGTGTTTTGCATGTAACTCAAACGAACACAAGATCTATGCCTGCAGTGTGTTCCAAAATAAATCTCCGCATGAGCGACATACCCTCGTCAAAGAAAATCATCGCTGTGTCTCGTGTCTAGGCCATCATAACCTCAAAGATTGCCATTCACAAACTTCATGTCGTACATGTAACAAGAAACATCACACTTTGTTACATTTCCCTGCACCTGTTGTTGATCAAAATCATTTTAAGCCTGTCAATGCAAATGTGAGTTACCCACATGAGCCTACTCAAACCTCAATGACGTCAACTTCACAAGATCACTCTCAGTCACCTTTTAAAAGCTCCACTATACTCTTGGGAACTTTTTTGATAAAGGTCACTTCAGTTCAAGGCACATCTCATGTGTTCCGTGCCTTACTTGACTCCGGCTCCATGTGCGACTTAATCACCGAACGAGCAGCTCAACTTTTAAACGCTCGACGCTACAAGTCAAATGTTCAACTTTCTGGACTTGGCCAAAATGCAGCTAAGAGTAATGGGCAAACTTACCTCAATCTTGAAACTCTTTCTGGATTTCTCATATCTCCGCAACATCCAATGCTCATTTTAGACAAATTGACTGTCGACTTACCTCGTGTTCCAGTCTCTCCGGAAGTGTTATCGCTCACTAAACGGTTTTGTCTAGCTGATCCATCATTTCACCTGCCAGGACGCATTGATATCGTGCTTGGTTGTTCTCTCTTTCCTAAGTTACTAACTCATGAAAATTACTCTCTTGGCCAACATATGCCCCACGTAATAGGAACTCATTTTGGATACATCGTGATGGGTTCTGCACCCTGTGAAATACCAAGAAATTCCACACCAAATTTCATCAGTCACACCATCTCCCTTCATTCATCTAATGATGTCGACCTTCATTCCTCACTTCAGCGATTCTGGACTCAAGAAGAACTTCCAAATTGTAAAAAGAAAACTGAAGAAGAAGAACTCTGCGACGCAAACTTCTAGTCTACGCACACCAGAGACTCTGAAGGACGATACATCGTTTGTCTTCCCTTCAAGGAAGCTCACCCCCCTCTTGGAGCGTCTCAACCGCTTGCTGAACGCAGATTCCACTCTCTCGAGCGAAAATTCGCAGTCCAACCCCGCTTCTCTCAGCTTTACCACGACTTCATAGATGATTACATCTCTCTTGACCATATGACCATATGTCAAGATTCCCTTCTTCCCTCTTCACACTACTTTCTCCCTCATCATGGGGTTCTTAAAGAGAGTAGTAGTACAACCAAACTCCGAACAGTATTTGATGCTAGTGCAAAAACAAGCACAGGGGTTTCTCTCAATGACATTCTGCTTACTGGACGCAAGCTCCAATCCAATATTTGTGACATACTTATGCATTTTAGAAGACACAATATTGTTTTTTCTTGTGATATTCGTCAAATGTATCGACAGATCCAAATACATCCTGACGATAGAAAATTTCAACTCATCCTTTGGCGTGAAACTTCCTCTCAACCTCTTACTACCTACCTGGGCCCTGTTTCATAAAACTACTAGTCTAGTATTTACTAGTCCATGGACTAGTAATACTAGTGTATTTTACAAGTCTACGTTTCAAAAACCTACTAGTGTAAAATACTAGTTACTAGTGTAGGGACTAGTATTACTAGTGGTTTTTACTTGTGTAGACAGCAATGTGTTTCATAAAGTTTTACTCTTGTAAATTACACTGGTAAATACTTGCCATTTTCTAACAACCTCTCTACTCCCGTATTATTTGAAGTAGACTAGTATTTTTGGAAAGAGAGTTATTTCATTACTCACATAATTTAAAACTATGAATTATTAAGTTCTTTTTGCAAGTGCGAATTGGCTCATGTTTGCAATTTAAGATAAAAATAGATCTATGAGTGCTAAAATGATTATTATTATTAGATATAAATTACAATCAATAAATGTGGCGTAGTACAAAAAGAGTGAAATTGCATTTTATAATGTATGGAAAATCGCCCTATTACAATTAATGATAATTATAAGTTATCAATTTATGTGAAATTTTAGTCTAATTTTACTTAAGTTAAATTTCATGGTTATATCAACTATTTAGCTATCACAGAGAAAAAATTTTTAAGCTTTGAGAGAAACCAAAGTAAAACAGCATACCGTATTGCATACAAAGATGTACAAAAATGTATCCAACATTGCAACATTAATCAGATTATTTTACTCCCAAGGCTCTCGGTTTTATTTAAATACATTTTAATAGGAAATAATAGTAAGAAAATTTTAAAGAGGAGTTGCATTGTATTTTTTTTAGGTGCTTATTATTTGTTTCCCTAAATAGCTAAAACCCTGTAATGTACTAACAATTTTGTAGGCCTATATTTGATTTTTGGGCGTTGGACTGAACTGCTTATCATAAAAACATTACTTTTAATCCATTTTGGTATTCTGATTTGTTATTCAAAGTAATAAAAAAATTAGATTTTGATTAGAGCTGTTATTTAAATGTAAAACATGTAAAAGTTACAACTAAACTACAGAATATGTGTACACATGTACACAGAATATGTGTATGTTACAACTAGTGTCAGAATATGTGTGTTTATTAATGGAACTAAAGTATAGTGAGTGGTGCGGATTTGAGCCAGGGACCCACCACATGAGAAGCGAAAACTCTACCTCTGAGCTACGCCCTGCAATAGCACTATGGACGCAATTGTGCTAGTGCAATAGCGCTGCTAGGTTTTACTATACTTGAAAACCTACTTCTCCATTGCTTGTAACGGCGTTGCAATTATTTGTTACATCAATAAACGTTTAGGTTTATTATTCACGGTTTGTAGACTCAAAATTAGAATATCACAGAATGGTTTTTAACCCAAATATTCTTATGCATTCGAATATTTGAAAACATAGGTTAGGGTACTTGAAAACGTTTCTAATAAAATGTCCTAAGACGATTTAATTACATTCAAATGTTGAGCCTTCTTTTCTTTACTCATAGGAAGCTTAATTTTATATGTCAGAATAAAACAAAAACTATACAAATCACAGCGAATGCGGCAGACACAGATCAACTTCCACCCAACGAGCGCCGCAACTAGGCCTACAACCGGCTACTACAATCACCGTGTTGATTGCAGCGACGCGACGCCGCGCCGGCGGGCTCATTGATGAACATAAATAATAGCGGTTTGATAAATAATGTGTGATTGTTTTACCTATGTGTCTATATATTTATTAATTAAAAGAAAAGACTGCGTTTCTACAACTATTTACTTTTTGTATCAAATGAAAACAAAATTAAAACCCTTTAGAAAGGGTTTGAAAACCCGTGATTGAGGTTAGAAATTTGTTTTGAAAGTTTACCTTGTAAAGTTGGTCACGTGACTAGTAGTTTTGGTCACGTGACTAGTAAAATACACTAGTATTTACTAGCGGTATAAAAACGTTTATGGAACACAAATTAGTAGGACGGGTAAATACGGGACTAGTATTTACTAGACTAGTAATTACTAGACTAGTATCTTTATGAAACAGGGCCCAGCTGAACACCGTGACGTATGGTATGAATAGCTCTCCTTACCTAGCAATAAAGACTCTTCACCAACTCGCTGACGACGAAGGTGACTACTTTCCAGAGGCAGCGCAAGTACTAAGAACGCAAACCTACGTTGACGACATCATCACTGGTGCGGATACTGAGGAATCGGCCTTGAAACTTCAAGATCAATTGGTCAACCTGTTACGAAGAGGAGGATTTGAATTACGTAAATGGGTCTCCAACTCTGATCGTCTTCTACAAGCTTTCCCCAAGGAGCATCTTGAGACTCCCGTCTTTCTCCAAGATTCTGAACAGCCACACTTCACAATACTTGGCCTACATTGGTCTCCCCACTCTGACTGCTTCACTTACAACCTTAACTTCCCTATGGACCCTCATCCATCAAAACGTTCGATCTTGAGCATCATAGCAAAAATCTACGATCCTTGTGGATTTCTCGCTCCCTGCATCATGCAAGCAAAATGTTTTATGCAGTTACTATGGACCACAGGCTTATCCTGGGATGATCCCCTGCCCACTAACCTCGCCGAAAAATGGCATTCGTTCCTAATCGATACTCAATATTTATCTCAAATTTCTATTCCTCGAGCGTTACAGTTTTCCCTGTCATGCACCGTAGAATTACATGGCTTCGCAGATGCGTCAGAGAGTGGCTACGCTGCTGTCGTATATTTCCGCTGTCAGATGTCTAATGGTGACACCATCATTCACCCAATAATCTCAAAGACTCGTGTCTCTCCTCTGAAAAGAGTAACTCTTCCTCGGCTTGAGCTTTGTGCTGCTCATCTTCTCGCGCAATTAGTAGCACATTGTCATTCTCTCTTCTCAGATAAAATTGCCATCAAAAATATCTATCTATGGAGTGACTCCTCGATAGTCTTGACATGGTTACGGACTCCACCCTACAAACTCAAGACATATGTAGCCAACAGGGTTTCTCAAACTCAAGAACTTGTTCCCATCGACTCTTGGCGACACATATCAAGTACTGATAATCCTGCAGACTGTGCGTCAAGAGGAATTTCCGCTTCCCTACTTGTCAACCATCCACTCTGGTGGACAGGCCCTCCTTGGCTTAAGCTCCCCACTTGTCATTGGCCTACCTCGCACTTCATTCCTGAGGACCTCTCTTCGTCAGAAGAAATCAAGAAGACACCTTTAGTTGTTCTTACATCAGCTCCTCAAAAGGAGTGGGAACTTCTTTCTGCCTACTCATCGTGGAACAAACTCCAACGCATTGTCGCTCTTCTTAACCGCTTCATTCACAATTGTCGTCATCAAAATGACCGTCTCAGTGGTCCTCTCTCATCGTCTGAAATCTCCAAAGCTCGTCTCAAGATCTTTCATCATGTTCAACAAGCCACCTTTGCAGAAGAAATTTCATCTCTCCAAAATAAGCATGACTGCTCCACCCGACTTCAACGATTGAAACCATTTCTCGACTCTGATGGAATTTTGCGTGTTGGTGGTCGCCTCAACAACTCATCACTACCTTCTGATGTTCGACATCCATTGCTGCTGCCTAGGAAGCATCATGTTGTTGACCTGCTTATAGACCATTTTCATATCACACATCTCCACTCTGGACCTCAACTTACTCAAGCTGTGATCGCTCAATCCGTCTGGATTCTTTGTGCACGTAGCGTAATTCGCTCACGTATATTCAAGTGCGTTACGTGTTTCAGAAATAAACCACGCAACAACACCCCGCTGATGGGTGATCTACCCTCCTCTAGAATCACTCCTGCTCGGCCATTTCTCTCTACAGGAATTGACTATTGCGGCCCATTCACAATTAAGAACTTAAATCTCCGATCTGTAAAACACGTAAAAGTGTATCTGTGCATCTTCATTTGCATGGTGACCAAGGCTGTCCACCTCGAAGTAGTGACAGATCTCACCACCGATGGATTCTTAGCAGCTCTAACGCGCTTTGTTTCCCGCCGTGGACTTTGTGCGGACATTTATTGTGATTGTGGCACGAATTTCGTCGGTGCTGACGCAGTTCTTCGTAAACTGGTTAAACCTCAGCTCACAACTCCTCAAGCACAAGACACTATTCAACGTTACACTGCTACTCGTGGAATCAAGTTCCATTTCAATCCTCCTGCTGCTCCTCATCAAGGCGGACTATGGGAAAGCACAGTGAAGAGCGCCAAACATCATCTACGACGTGTAATGGGTGACACAGTTCTCATTCTTTCAGAATTCATTACACTCTGCACTCATGTTGAGGCCATGCTTAATTCCAGGCCACTAACTCCGCTCTCAAGTGACCCAGCTGACCTTTCAACTTTAACTCCTGGTCACTTCCTCATTGGAACATCACTGGCATCCGTTCCAGAGCCTCACGTCATGGATGTGCCAACAAATCGCCTTAAACATTGGCAATTAGTACAGGCTTTCCATCAACGACTTTGGAAACGATGGAGCTTGGAATACATTCATACGTTGCAACAACGTTCAAAATGGTGTAAAAATTCTCAAAACCTGAAGATAGGAGATCTAGTTCTGGTGCACGATTCTTCTCCACCACTCAATTGGCCACTTGCCCGTATAACGGGCATCCATCCTGGAAAGGATGGGATCGTCCGTGTTGTGGACCTCAAGACGTCTTCAGGACACCTGACCCGTCCAGCAATAAAAGTATTTCCTTTGCCACTTGACTAGAAGATTCTTTGTTAAAGCCCTTTGTGGCTTTAAGGCGGGCAGTATGTTCAAGACTTTTTCCCCTTGATCTGCATTTATATTTATTTATCATATGTTATTATTTAATCCTGTTTACTTTTTCATTACATTGTTTTTCTTGCTCAAGTGAACATGGTTTCTTTTTTATAATCTTAATTTTACCATTTTCCAATCCAACACACTGTTTAAATTGAATTATGCAGTACATTGTATTCCTTCATATAATTAAATTCAAAATTTCAAACAATAGCGACTTTGTTTACAGTTTAAAATTTATTTAACAAATATCCTGGTACGAATATTAAATTTAGGCTTTGTTCAGACTCGGTTATCTGCACACCTCTAATGTTTTAGGAGTTTGTTTATTGTGACTCATGTGTGTGTTTGCAGGATGGATGAGGATGTTTTCCTTGACTCGGCTGTGGCTGCGGACATTGGGATGATGCACCTAAACCCTCTAGACCCAGGTAATGGTAAGACTCATCCAGTGTCGTCCAGTAGTGGGGACAGTGACGATGTCACCTGTATCAGCACAATCACTCCGCCAGGTCTGACAACGCGCAACCATTCCTGCTCACTAATCTGCCTTGGCAATGTTGTACTGTCTTGCAGACCAAAGACAATTTTCAAACATGTTTTGTCATTTCGTAACATTATGTGTAAAATTTATTTTTGAAATAATGCTAGGACGTTACTAAATTTATCTGATTGCTTAGCATGAAAACAGTTATGTGTTTACTGCTGAAATTTAAGCTTGGGCCACACTAGACAGGAAAGATTCTGTTGGATGCTTTCTGAGTTATGAAATGGAAGCTGTTACACAACACAGTGAGACAACATGTGGAAAAACAATAAGCCACGAAACTCGCAGAATCCTCACAATGCATTCAACTGATTCACATTTTGCATGTTGTTTCCTTCGTTGTTTATCAGCGCTTTAGGCTACACTAGGCAGGGAACGAACAGGAGATTTGTAATTAGATGCACTGCATGCTCAATTGGGACAAAAATTGTTCGGCTGTCCGTGTGTGCATACTTCTGTAAGAAATTGATTGTTTGAGCTCTTCCTTTCCATATCCCTTCAGGTGTAGCCCTAGAGCCAGAATTGGTCCGTGTTGTTCCCTTTCCTGTCTAGTTAAGCCGATTCTTTGTTAGGTGTGTTCCAAAAGTACGATTTATCATGAAATCAGATTTTCTACTGCACTTATTTATAAAAATTTTAAAATGTGTATATCAGAACATTAATGAACTAAGTTCCCTTTATTTGATTACCGAAACACTGCTATCATATTGTATACACTTTGAAATGTCACTGACTGGAGGAATGCATTTGTTGTGATTTGCACACGTAGAACGAGCTGAATATTGTGTTGATGGAATAAATTGGGTTTAATTTTTTTTTTTACTCATACTCTCAGTCTTTAAAATAATTTAATTTTAAAATTTTTTTACAATTCAAACCAAAAGCTTAGAGCTGTTTGAGTTTAATATAACCCTCAAACCCTAAATAGTTAAATAGGAATAAAAGAAGTTATCATCTACAATGATTTTGGATTTTGTATTGTATTATTTGCAAAGTCTGGCTTCTAATCCATTCACCGTTGGCTGAAAAAAAAAAAATGTTTGCAATTGCATGGTGTTCAATGAATTTGTAAGCTTACCTACCATAATCTGTATAAAAAAACCTAGGTCCCCCAGCCATGACTTGTGTTTTATACCTCTAAGTGTTGGTTTTCTTTGTTGTTGTTTTTTTTTTTGTAAATGCCAAATGCAAAAAATTCAGATATTACTTCTGTGATTGAAGAATCTTATATATTGCTCTAATCTGACTAATAAAAATTAGTTCTGACTGACAATGTGTTGATTCCTTAATCTAACTTAGTGTGTCTTTACCTTTTGTGTGTTGATTTGTGGTTAACCCTCGAAGGGTCTTAAAACACAAGAGATGACTCGCCAAATAATGAAGTCATAGACAAACAGTGGAAATACACATACATTGTAATTGCAATGGCAAATACTTGTACACTCAACTACAACTTACAACATGTTCCCCTTAAAATACACCCTTGTATCAAGTATTTGTTGCTATACTTTATCTTCTTTATTTTATAACTTTATCATAACTAATAGCAGCAAACCTACATACATAAATTAAGAGCGAGAAATCATTCAATTTTAAAACTTTACTTTCTAATATTAGAAATTTAACTTGATTCACCCTCTTAACTTGCAGACGCTGGACTGGGGTATGCGCCGCTGTATTCTCCATCAGTATCAGAACCCATTGACACTACTCCTCTCTCTCCGTTGTCGTTGGACAGTAAGTGTCTTAGTAGAAACTGCTTTGTTTACCAGTGACATACTAATTTTGTATTAAAGATAATGAACTTCCGGCAAAATGAAATCAAAAGCATGGCCTGGACAGTAAATCCAAGTCTAAAGAGGGGTTTCCCTGGTTGCCGAATACGGGTGTGGGATTGAATGTCTTCAAGTCATTTTTGCTCTGAGTTAACCTTGCCGCTAGAAAAATGCCTGTAACTGGATTTTGTTGGTGCAGAAAAACACAGCCGTATTTGGCAGATTTGTTTGGCAGCTAGAAAAACCGGCCTATACAATGTTATAGAAGCTATATGCTGAACAGTTAGGTCACTCTTGTGTTAAGTATATAATTGCTTCAGCAAGTGAACATTCAGAAACATTTAACTTTATCATCATTTGCATAAAACATTTACAACTGTTCGGTCTCAAATAGCAACTATAAAGTAGGCTTTATTTTTGACAACCAGCTAAAAATGGTGTAATTTTTACAGCCATTTTGGTAACACAATGCCAAGAGCAGACATGTAGATCTCGGCTGAAGCAGCTTAATCTGAGATCCACAGTCTGATGATGGCATTGTGTTGCCGAAATGGCTGTAACAGTTACAACTTTTGAGATGATTGACAAAGGGAAACCCTATTATTTTCAGTTACTTTACATTGATGATTTGAAACACTTCTAAAATAATAAAACAAATTCTCACTCTGTGATGTTCCAGGTGCTCACACTCGTAAGTACAGCCGAGAGTTTCTTCTGTCTTGCTCCCTGTCGCAGCACTCTCACGCGACCCCTCTACAATGGCCCTCCATCAGTGAGAGATTTCCTGCCATCGTCAAGAAGGTACACAACCCGTACGCTCTTCCACCCTACCCTCCCTACATCTTCTCCGAGGGCTGGACCTATGTTGATCCTTACTCATTTCCCAACTAACGTAACCAAATAACCCTGCATTGATGTGTTGACTTTTCTTGTATGGTTGTGATTGATTTGTAACTGTTTCCCTCCTATGATTTATTTTGTTTTTGTTTCATTACCATGTTTAAGATTAAAGATAGGCGTGTCATGTAACAATCGTTTTCAGTATGGATGCAGAAATGTTAAAATTTAAAGTTTTTATTTACTGGTAAGGCCATGTGGTAGTTTCCCTGAGTATGTTGTATCTATTTTTCTTTAAATAAATATTATTAAAAGAGGAGAGATTAATTGCTTGTAGTTTGGGTCATTAAATTAGACATAGTAGGTAAACAGACTGCAGATTTAACCTACGTTGACAAAAATATCATGAGCATCATCATGTTATCTTTAAATCACAAAATGGGCAGATTGGTGTAGGCTACATGCAATAGTGTCAACATAACTTTTTTGATCTAAATTGCTAAAACTAGTGATTGATACATTAAAGTTGCGGTAGTCCAAAACAAAAAAATATATAAACATGGTTTACCCTGTTATTAAATTAGTTTTCTCTTAAAAATACTAGTATATCAATCAATGACATATATTATACCGGTAACATTGTTCTTTGCCTCATGGATAAGTATGTTTACAAACAGAGTAAAAGGTTCCTTTTATACTCTGTGGCAACACCCTTGTTACTGCATAGATGCATGGTGGCTCACCCATAAAGTGCGGAAACTAGCGACCCTAATGTGTTTTGCATTATATGGAGCTTTTATTCTAGTCCACTTCTATATATGAGAGCTTCTATTCACCACAGTGGAACTTGTGACTGCTGCCTCATCAGTAGAGAAGGCAAATCCTGAGAGTGTTGCAGGATCATCAAGTGTTTAATCCCCAATTGTACAAGAAAGTTAATCAAACTATGTTAACATCACAAGAAAATAGTTTTTGGACTTGCCGTTATCTTTGTGGAAAAAGAGAAACGGTTTTCTGACTGCATTGTTATTGTTAGATCTTGCTTGGTTTATTGGATGAACAGACAAGTGACTTTTACGACATCTTTGCAACTTTAGCTTCAATATTTCACACGCCACAGTACCTTGATCCAGAAGTTCTGCCATTTCTTACTCTCAACACAAATATTTACACCACCATAGTATTGAGAGAAATGCTAAAGTTGGTAGCCCTGACACAGCCAACACTGCAACGGCTGCTTCCAAAACTAGTGGAGGGGAGCAGCGTACAACAGATTCACATAGGATCCAATAAAGGAACCAATTACAAAAGGAACAATAAAGGAACAGATTCGTGGGAATATTTTTACGTGAAAGATTTATAATCACACATTTACTTCAAACATCTCGTACTTAACCCTAGAAAGGTATCGCCGTACAGTATGACGCCAAGGGTATCAATATGTAAATTTGACGTACTGAAATTTTTATAGGAATTGTCATACAGTAAGGTATTGTCATGCAATGTGAAGCTATGGGTATCAATACGAAAATTTGACATACTGCCAGCCATTCTATTTTATTTTACACAAAGAGTATTGACACGTAAGTCAGACATATGCATTCAGAGAAACCGACTAGCAGTGACACAAAGAAACCCACTACCACTACAACACAACCAAGGCAGCTGTCAGCTGTCACATGTCAACTGACTGCTGAGAGCACTACTGGAATGAGGGTAGCATTGGTGGTTGGGGTGGGGAGTGGAACGCTAAAGATAACTCAACATATATGTCAAATTTACGAGCAATACCCTATCTAGTGTTAAAACATTGGACAATGGGTCAAAAAGCACAGAAATATAATCATCGTCTTCTAGCCACTCTTACCATTTCTGTTGGTATCGTGGTTTTGTCTGGACAACATCAAGGTTAAGTTGTGAGTGCATGTTAAAAAAAAAAGTTACTGTCCTGCAAAGGCTTCCCTCCAGTGTTTTTTTTAGGGATGGACGGGATTGAATTTTTAGTTCGGGACGGGATTTTTTCCTGGGTATGAAAAGAAAGTCTTAAGTATTGCAGTTACCAAAAAAGACAAACAAAATCATTTTTACCATTTGTGGCACTGATCTATAAAAACCAAAAAAATGGGTACAAATTTACAGGTACGGTATAGAAACTTGTGACTCACAGTCACGGCGTGATCGTCGGTATGACTCCGCACCCCGGAACCCCCCCGGAACCCCCCCCCCCCGCCCGGTGTTGGAACCGGCACTTCAGGTAGACCACAAGCTATGGACGACTGGACAAGCCAGCCTCTTTGGGTTTACCCAAAGTGAGAGTACCCAGTGACATTCCCTCCATTCAGGGTGGTGGGGGTGTTCAGCTCTGCTAGTGTTGATTAAGTTCATAGATCTTTCACCTGCCTGTAGCTTGTGGTTGTGACTGAGTCCTACCTGTCGTGTACGACTGACATTTTGTGAGGCATATCCTCGACTTTGGAAGTAGCCTCGTCCTGGGAGGTGAAATACCTAGCCCCCAGAGGGGAGGTAAATGCTCCGTGTTGGTATCGGCATTTCAAGTTGGCCACAGACATGGTCGACTGGGCATCGGGTCCCAGTGACATTCCTTTATCCAGGATGGAGGGGTGTTTAGCTCTAGGAGAGATGGAAGTACATCATAATCTCTAACCTACCTGTGTCTGTGGTTCTTTGGGCTTCGGCCTGCTTGTTGTGTGCGACCAGCATTCAGTGGGCAAATCCTCGACTTTGGAAGTAACCTTTCCTGGAGGTGAAAACGGGCAAGTACCCGCAGCTCACGGGGACACTCAAGGGCAACGTAACTTTCCGCAGTGTGAGGGCAACGGTTTGTAGGTACTTATGCAAACCTATCCCTGTCTCTGAGCACGGACGGTATGGTTATCTTGAGTGTGGGGGGTTCTTCCCGGAACCTCAATTGAGTCAAGGGTGTCGCCACCTCTGGTGGATAGGTTCATCCGGGTGGGTCCCACTTCTATACCTGCCTCCTTTTGGGAAACCCTGATGGCCTGGCAGTGATGTTGGGTCTGACGGGCAAACGAAGTAGATCGGGTGCTGGGTCCGAGCCCGCCGGGGGTATCTGGGGATCTATCGCTCTGGATATCTCTGGTTCCCAGCAATGGGTCAGGCCTCGATCGGGCAGCGGTGTAAATGGGAGGTTGGGGTTCCGTCAGCGTGCTGATGGTCCCCTTCCTCCTGGCTATTGATGGCGGGTTCTGCCTGTCAGGGATTAGATAGGTCCCGAGTGTTGCTTGCACTAAATGCGTCGGGGCGCTCTACTATGGACCTCTAGGTTCCGACCTAGTGGAACCCAGGTGGAGTGACGCTTAAACAAGCAGCCGGAATCCCTGGTTAGGATTGAGGGGCAACCCTCTTTCCGAAGGGTCTGCTTCGGCAGCCGGCGAGCCTGATGACCTTAAGTCATCCGCCCATGATGTGCTAAAGGTTGATGCGTAAGCTTCGGCCTACATCATGGGGCCCGGGTATGTCCTGAAGGATAGGTACCGGGTAAGCAGTCAGGGGGCTTCGGCTCTCATGACAACAAATGTAAATGTAAATGGTATGACTCCGCAGTCACGGCATGATCGTCGGTATTACTCCATGGTCACGGCGAGATGGTCTTCATGACTCATGGTCACGGCGTGATCGTCGGTATGACTCGCGGTCACATCGCGATCGTTGAAATGACTTCGCCTCCTGCGTTCGCGGAACTATCATGAACATCTCTCGCGATAGCAGCGTCATTGTCACTCGCAAAGCGGCAAAATCGCCGACGATTGGATCAAATCCTTGAATTGTAGTTAAAAAGATTATAGCCGTGTTTACACAAGGCAAGTAGGCACTAAGCAGGCAGGTTACCTACTGGCTTCATTCAAAGTAGCTTAAGAGAAATATCACTGATTAGGAATTTTTCTAATTATTTCTTCTCTTGATTTTGCGTCCAACAAAAACTAGTTTAAAAAGAAATTTGATTTTAATTGCATTCATTGAATAAAATATGGTTGTGCCTACCTGATCAATTCATAGAATATGGAGTTCTAAGACTAGTTTACACGTGGCCGGTTGGCGAGCAGGTCACTTGCCTCCTCAGGTAACTTGAAATACCGTACATTAGAGGCAAGTAACCTGCCTGCCCTACTGGCCTCGTGTAAACACAGTTTAATGTCAACAACCAATGTTCAGGTTGTTAGACGGAATGCATTGTAAGCATGTTTTGATGTGTTTTGTGTGTGCTGGTGATGCTTCAATTTGTTTGCTTTTCTTTGTCAGAGTGTGGCAGAAGGTCAGATCAGGAACCACCAGACAAATCATCAAAACTGACGAGGATTCACATGCATATCACAAACATTAGTTACTTCCTACACCTGTGACTATTCATCTTACTCTCATTCTATACATTCATTTTTAAGGATTCAAAACTGGTGTATAGTATTAAGCTCGTTAAAATATCTTCTAATAAGTTTTTAGGTAATCAAATTTGTACCTATTATTTTGGTAACTCTTTATTTGATTAAGTGTGAAACTTCTAGGTAATATCTATTACTGTTTTATCTAATATTAATACAATAATTTCAAGATTCAACTTTTTAAATTGTATTGTTTGACTGTTTACTCAGAATTATTGAGTGAATTTATAAGCTGTAAGATTGTGTTAAATGTTTTTCACCACACTATTATGTTTTTAGCTATTTTTACATACGTTAATTGGTGGCTGAAAGTTACGTTTTGTTGGCCATGTCAGGTTTTTACTGATCAGGTTTTTACATCCCTAGGGCCGCAAAATCACCTGCCCACTTTCTTAAAAGGTGAATGCACATTGCAATAGAATTGTTTTGTCACAGCTGCCTAGCAACTATTTATTATTATTTTTGCTGATTCCTCAAATTATATCTTCACAGTTCACATAACCTTAAAGTTGTAGTTATGTTGACTATCAGTGTGCATTATTATTG